CAAAACATACATAAAACAAAGTTAGTGAGCATATTGATCTCAGATGCTCAGTAGAGAGACTGCTTGGCTTCCCCAGCTTCAATTAAAACCTAGGGAAAGACATAATGAGGTAATTCCTGCAATGGGTCTTTTTCAGATTAGGCAGCTGGGAAGGCTGCAGAATGTTCCACAGATGCTTAATGGGGGAAAAACACCCCTCAGCCACCTCACAATTATATGGCAAACTGAGTCCTACATCCACTGAAATTTTAAAACATCCAAAGAATGAGGAAGACAAATGAAAGCTTCTTTCTAAGGAACAAACACTTTTGAGAAATTGCAGGATATGTTTCAACATATCACTTTATTTACATAGAACCATTCATCAGAATTAAGAATTCTGCATAGCTCAAAAAGCACATGGAGCATTGTCTATAAAAGTGTTCAGATAATATATAAGTGGCATAATCCAAAGCAAAAAACAAAACAAAACCCTATCCCATTGAAATCCATGGTATTAAAGTGCTTAATATTAGATGGGTCTCTCATTAGCTGTTGTTCTCTGCTCTTTACATGTGAGTGTTTAACCTAAAATCACTGAGGGTATTCAATTGTAAAACTCCATCTTGAAGGGAGTTGCCTCTGTAGTCTTTCTCTGGATGCCACAAAGACAACAAAGGATGTGATAATGGCTCTCCAGGATGCAGGCTGGAATGACAGAGAGATAACAGTTTTGATTTCTGGAAGAAGTAAACTGATTTCTTGTAAGATGCTGAGCCTGTGCTGGACATGCACAAGATATGGCATGGAATTTTTTGGAGGAATCTTTGTTTGTTTTTGCTCTGTTTTGAAGTAAGTTATGCAAGTAAAGTTTTGAACAATACTTATTGGTCTGGACAATATTTTGTTACAAAAGGAGTCAGTTGTTATGCATCCAGTTGCTTCAGGCTGCACAATATTAATATCTGCAATACTCTTGCCTGGGAGTCAGCTCTGTTTACTTACTGGGGCTCTTTAAAGCTGGTAGCCACCATGTTGCTTTTCCCTGAGTGCCGCATTATAAGGGGCATTTTAGGTAAAAGTGGCATTCTTCACTGAGAAGGACTGCCATTTTTGTTACCCTCCAAATGCCCTTCAATATGGAATGTTCTGAGCAATCTAAAATGGCAGCCACCAACCAGACAGATCTTTGAACAGCTCTCGTGTTGAATGAGGACACAAGATGGAGGGTGAGCTTTCACTCAGCCTTAGAAGCAAATAAGAAGAGCTTTTACTGGAAGGACTGCCAATTATACTAGCCCTATGGCCACAATCTAAAGAAACCATGTTGCATATAGGGCCTTCTTTTATGAGCAGGGAGGTTTGCCTCATTTTGTATGTTTTTGTATGTTTTGTGGCATTTTACGCATTGTGACTAGCTGTTATTTTTATTCATTATATTTTAGTAATAATTTCTTGTAGCTGATAAGTGTAAGCTGTTTAATTATTTAATATTTAATTTTACTGTTTACTATTATATTCTAATGGGTTATTGAATATTGCTTTATTTGATATAAGTGTTTATTTTAAAGCTTTTGTGACTTTTTCTTATTGGATCAGATTGTTATTATGCATGTGATCTCTGCTGTCTATTCTGTTGCTCTTTCAGCTTGTAAGCCGCCTTGTGCATAGTAATATAGAAAGGCAGTATACAAATTAAAAGTGAAATGAAATAAAATTTTCTCTGTGTATGCTGAAAATTCTTTTCTCAAAGGGGAACGAGGAATCCCCTGAATGCCGTGAGCTCTGGACTGGGGTCCACCAGAATGCCTTTTGAGATTGTTGGGGTACTAAAACACTTCATATTATGGGGTGTAAAATAATGAAGATAATTACAAATAAGGAACACTTTCTCCCTCTTCCTGCCTCATCCACTCAAGGCTTAGTTCTTCTGTCCTTAAGAGTGCTGAAAGAGTAATTTGGAAGGGGGGGGGGAATAGAGGCTATTGGAGTGAAACGTAGGCTGCAAATGATTGGAAGCTGTAATAGCATTCCTGGTATCTACCTGGCAATTTTATATAATCAGATGCCTCCTTTATTTAGCGGTTTGTTAAATCGCCGGTTATAGATTTTTAAATGTGTTGCTGTATTTCCGAGGACTTCCAAAGCTTGCCCTTCTGGCCCCGTGATTGCAATAGATGGCCGGGAAGGGCATTCCATTCTTTATTGCCTGTTTTTAACCCTTGCCATTTAAAACATTTAGGTGGGGGGAAGAGAAGGTGTGGGAATGAGACTCCTATTTTAGTGAGATTAAGCCATTAAAGAAGAGGCTTCCGTGATGATTCTGTTGCAGTTAAAAGGCTTAATGGAGATGCTGCGACTGCAGCAGGAGCAGGAGCCTTGGAGAGAGACTTGTGGACTTTTGTCCGTTATGGAAATAGGAGCTTTTGCAGGGTCTAATCCTGTGGTGTTATTGTGCCATTTCAGATTTGTGCTGCATAGGGTGAATTTTCAAAACAGAGTTGAGCTGAATGTTCAGGAACAGGCATTTTGAGCTCAAAAGGTAGGACTAACCCAGGGGTTGGCAACCTAAGGCCCAGGAGCCAGATGCGGCCCATTCGCCTTCTCAACCTGGCCTGCAGATGGTCTGGAAATCAGCATGTTTTTACATGAGCAAAATGTGCCCTTTTATTTAAAATGCACCTCTGGGTTATTTGTGGGGCCTGTCTGGTGTTTTTACATGAGTAGAATGTGTCCTTTTATTTAAAATGCACCTCTGGGTTATTTGTGGGGCCTGCCTGGTGTTTTTACATGAGTAGAATGTGTGCTTTTATTTAAAATGAATCTCTGGGTTTATTTGTGGGGCATAGGAATTCGTTCATTTTTTCCCTTCAAAATATAGTCCGGCCCACCACATGGTCTGAGGGACGGTGGACCGGCGCACAGCTAAAAAAGCTGGACTAACCCCCTCAGGGGGAAAAAAATCCTTCAGCTTGTTTAATCTCAGGGTTGTGGGCTTGAGCAAAAGCATAGGAGTCAACAGCTAGGGGTTAGGGCCTCTCCGGCCCCCGTATAGTTTTTTTGAGGGGGCTGCTACCCTGGTGGATGGGCATTGCCATTCAAATGGTGAGCGTGCACTGCATCATGTGATTGATTACTTGAGCACCCCCTCACACACAATATTTTCTTCAATACTGCACCCCTGAGCGAAAGATTCTTGCATTGCAAGTGGCTGGACTACATGACCCCATTTTCCCTTCCAGCTCTACAGTTCTGTGATTCCTTCAACCTGTTTTTGTGTGTTGGTGGAAACAGTGACTTGCACTCCCAGGCATTAACAGGTGCCTTTTTTGCTTTCCTCACCTGCGCCAAAATGAAGGGAGGCAGCATTGCTGTCACCAGGTTTAGCAGCAGGACCCCCAACACAAATGTCACCTCCTCAGACGTCTGCATACTCAGCGAAGGATTGAAGGGACAACTCTCAGTTGGACACTCTCAGTTGCTATTTGAGAACTCTCTTTGCGTAGCAGGACCATTCTGACGCTCAAAATGTGCATCAGAGTTTGCTCTAAGTAATGTCTGCCGATTTGACACGTGTGACACAAACACACACACACACACACACACACACACACGAGTGATAAATAAATTTTGCTGCTCTTCTATAAGTTCCTTTTATTTGAGCTTCCTTTGACATTCCTTCAGGTAATTCATCTAAATAGCACCCCTCCACATTCTCTTCCATTTTTTTGCCTTAGTTAAATTCCATTTATCTCTCTCGCTTGCTCACGGGTACGCTCTCTCTTTAGTGGAAGCCGGTTAGATTAATTTAGGCTGCATACGCACTTGGCCGCTTGCAGCACAAAAAGGTAGCTTTTCCCATCTGTGCTTGTCCTCAACATGCGGCTTTCAATCTAGATTGATTCTAGATCCTGCTCATTGGCAAAGGTGGGTGCGGTGACTTGATATGCATTTGAAACCCTCCCCTTGGTTGTGTTATCCATCCCTTTCCCCCCCTGCACGTGCCTTGGGTGAATGAAAAAGGAAGCGATGATTGCAACCTTAATATACACCCACCCACAACATCATTGGGCACACGTGGATACATTGCTCATTTCCGGGACTGCTTGCATCTGTTTTCAAATAGACACACTGTGGGGTAATGTAGAATCAATCTGCAATGAGCTTTTATTTTTAGAACGGAGCTGGTTTCTCAAGAACTGCTTTTCAGGGGCAAAAAATATGCTGGGATCTAGATTGTGTGTGGACAAGATAGAAAAAACAAGTACACAGTCTTCCACTGGAAGAATTCTAGAATACAAAGGTCATATGTACATAGCCTTAGGGTCATGCCTTGTATGTCAGTAGTATGCACACAGAATCTCTTTATCACAATTGTAGTCTACCCTTCCTATAAAGAGCTAACAGAACCGCCATGCCTTATTTCCAGTTCATCCTCACAGTGACCCTGGGAGTCAGGTTAGACTGAGACATGGTGGTTGGCTCAAGGTCATCCACTGAGTTACAAAGCGATTTGAAGCCTGTTGTTTCTGCTCCAACAGAGCAGAAATCAATATTCACAGATATCCAAAACTTTCTAGCATGTGCAACTGAATGTGAAATTTTGAATTCATTGTTCAGATTCACATTTAGAATATGAAATTTTAACAAAACTTTGAGTGCTTTGATATCTGTTTTTGCAGCATCCAGCTTGAGGTCCCAGAAGCTGTCAAATACTAAATACCATTGTGTGTTATCAACTCCTGCCTGATACTAATACCATTCCATGTTCGTTTTTCAAATATTAAATACTTCTTCCTGCCAATCATCAAATGCTGTCAACCACTAAATGTCATTAAATACCAGTTCCCATATATAGTTGGGTACCAAGCAAATATCATCTATCAAACGCTGTCAGATACGAGTACCATTTCTTGCCAACTGTAAAATACTATCAGATATCAGGTACTCAAATATCATGGGGTATTTTAAAGAATAATATTAAATAATAATGACAAAGAGATAAAATTATAGGATGCATAAAGAAAACAAAATTCGAACGTCTCCGTTGATGAAAATTTCGGTTTTCGAACGGCATAAACCCAGAGGTATATGCTTCAAAAACATATTGGAAGTCGAACATGCCACACAGCTTCCATATTGAGTTTTCCATATTGAGTTTTTCGTTTTGAGGCTTCCGTATTGAGTTTTCGGTTTTTGAACGTTTCAGAACTCGAACAGTCTTCCAGAACAGATTACCTTTGAAAACTGAGGTGCCACTGTAAAGATAAAGGAAAAAATACATATACAAACATGTTCAGAGTCCATGATAAGGATACCAGATGTTGACGCACAGTCTTTTAGACTATTTCAAATCGTAGATTCCTGCAGTGCAGGAATCTGAACAAAAACATTTGGTATCCAAATTTTCAAAGGAAATCTCTGAAGTGAAATTGTTTCAGGTGTAGCTCAATAACCTTTCTACTACATATTATGTCAGTGTTATATGAATGGCACTGCTACATTTTGGAATAGGTTCTAGCTCAGTTGGTAGAGCATGAGACTCTGAATTTCAGGGTCCTGGGTTTGAGTCCTACATTGGGCAAAAGATTCCTGCATTGCAGGGGGTTGGACTAGATGACCCTTCCAACTCTACAATTCTATGATTCTATGAAATATAAGGGACAGAAAGGGGGGGGAATCACATTGTTTCTCACCTAGCAGCTAGATGTAACTTGCACATGAATCATAACCAACATTGTTCAATTACAACAGTTTGTGTGGGAAGGTTTGCTTTGGGTGTTTGTCTTTGGCAGTGTAAAATAGAGGCTCCAAAATGAAGCCATTGGTGCAACAAGCCCACAGGTCTGCTTCTCCTTTTGCATAGTTACAAGCATCCTTTTAGACTCTGCTGAAAGACGAAGTACCCAGAGATGTTTTTAAGTAGCTGGCTCTTTAATGTCTCCCAACCATTTCCTCCTTACTACTGAGAATTACCTTCTGGTGCCTGATAACAATTTCAACAGCAGGCGACCCATCCATATTTTTGTAGATAATTAGCAGAACGGCTATACAGCAGAAGTGGGTCATCCTGTACTTGTTATTCACAGATGGTTCAATATAATGGATTTTGGAAGCGGCATAACAAAAAAAATTGATACCAGTTTCAGAGAGGCAGAAGAGAGCAAAGAAAATCAAGGGGAAATGTTTATGGAGGGTTGTAGCAGGTGCATCTCTAATCGCTTACCGGAGTAAAGGCATGATGTGGTCCAGGTATTTTTGCAGCCCCACACAATGTAGTGTTAAAATGGACAAGCATCTGCATTGACACCTCTCTCTCTCTCTCTCTCTCTCTCTCTCTCCCTCCCTCTCTCTGCCAGTTTGAAAAATTGCCTCTTGCTGTAGCACTACCAGGGGAAAACATAAACACAATGATGAGACCATGCAGATAGCCTTCATCTTCAAGAGGCTACCCAGGATGCTGTTAAGAGGCCAGAAGTAGCTTAGCTCCCATCCCAGAGGTGTACCCAACAGCACTCGTTATTTTCTCCCATGTAAGACCACTGAAATATATATATTCTTTGGCTTTCTTATTAACTTGCACCATAAGATCCAGGGCAGCTTACAATCTGAAAATAAAAATAAAATAAAATGATTCATAATCAGGAGAATAGGTTGTGTGTGTGTGTGTGTGTGTGTGAGAGAGAGAGAGAGAGAGAGAAGATGCCACACACATCTCTGTGGGAGAGCCAGTGTGGTGTAGTGGTTAAGAGCGGTAGACTCGTAATCTGGTGAACCGGGTTCGTGTCTCCACTTCTTCACATGCAGCTGCTGGGTGACCTTGGGCTAGTCACACTTCTTTGAAGTCTCTCTGCCCCGCTCACCTCACAGAGTGTTTGTTGTGGGGGAGGAAGGCAAAGGAGAATGTTAGCCACTTTGAGACTCCTTAAGGTAGTGATAAAGTGGGATATCAAATCCAAACTCTTCCTCCTCCTCCTCCTCTTCTTCTTCTTCTTTGGGAAGGAAATTCCACAGCTTAGGGGCTTCCACTCTTGAGGGTGATGGAACTGGCAAGAGGGACCCCAATGAGGATCTAAATGTCTGAGAGGGTCTAGTTGTAGGGGCAATCCATCTGGAGGACAATTGTATTTTGAGGAGATAAGTGACCTGACATGGTCATCTCTTCCTGCTTCTGTTTATTTCCCCTCTATCTCTTGTTCTACTCTTTGATGGCTGAGAGCAGCCTTTAATGTATAATCTGGTGGAAGGAAGAAGTGATAATGCAGGGCACCTTCTGACCTCCTTTGATGTTAAACATTGTTTGGAGGAACGTGCAGTATTGGAAGAGGGGCTAGCTAATTAATAATCTGCACTAGCTAGTTGGGCAAGGCACGTAGGCTAACAATCTAGCTCTCTATAAATCAAATGGTTTGGGGGCATAGCTCTCAGAAGCTCGTGCAACCTGAGGCTACCTCGGGGTCACTTTGCCACTTCTTGAGGACTTCCCAGTGGCAGATCGAGGTGCTTGCTTGGTAATTTATATAATGCTTGCTGTTTAGAATAAAATCTTTAATCTTCTCACTCACTTGTGTTTGTATTGCTTCTGAATCTCATTAAAAGAACCGCCTTGCATTTGGCAAGACGCTAGCGAAGGAGATGGTCTTTCATAAGTGAATGGTATAATGCTTGGCCTCTCTCTCTTCTGGGCCTCAACCACCACCACCCACGACCTAATAGCCTAGCCCTTAGCAACAGGAATCCCACAGGGGATTGTGATGCAACACACCCATCTGGTATACAGTATACAAACCTTCTCTTCAAGCACAGACACACAAACGTACACAACTCTAACCTGGCTTGCTTCTGAGTTCTGAGCTGGACATATACCCCGCAAGCGTGCTTTAAATAGGCCTGAGATGAGAATGGGGATAGGGGTAACAGCATGCTGAGGTCACAAAGGCATCAATGGCTGCCTTAAAGGGGGATGTGGACAAGGCTGGTTACAATGGCAGACATTGGGGTCTCAAATTTCAGTGGCACGCTGTGTGATGCCAATATTTGGTGCCCTCCCCCGCCTCTGGCCTTCAACATCATAGTTGTGGCAGCTTCTACAGTACCCCCAAGGCCCTGTACCCAGTGCGAACAAACCAGTCCTTCTCCCCTAAATCCGTCTCTCACTTAGGACAGAGGTCACAGATTCCCTAAAGGCACCTCTCCTCAGCTTCCAAATGGTTTATCTCCCATTTATAGCTAGACAGAGAAAGCAAGGAGAGCACATTATTGAAGAAGATTAATCCCCCCACAATGAAGAGAGGAGAATTCCTATGCTTATACAATAGGTGAATGGGGGATTTCAAGGCTGCTTGCCTCCATGTCTGTATGATTGTGTGTTTGTGTGTGTGTGTGTGTGTGTGTGTGTGTGTGTGTAGCAAACAGGGTGCTGATGAGTAAACCCAGCGTATGATTCAACACATCTTTAATCTAGTATTGACTTTCTCCTTTGAGATCTCTATAGCAGTATAAAACCAGCACACAAAAAGTAAATACATCTTGAGCTGGGATTCATGTCTGTGGTGGGGGGAGGAGAAGACCCAAGGGAAGAGAAAGCTCAGTTGGGGCGGGGAGTGAGTCGTTCGTCTCAGGTGAAATCTCTGGTGGGGCATTCATTGTCGGGGCTGTGTGCAAGAGCATTCGCTTGCTGAGAGAGATGGAAAACTAAGATTGACATAAGAAATGAATTCTTTTCTCTCTCCCTTCCAGAGCAAAGCTGAAAGGAATACATGCAGCCAAGTGGAAAAGGGTTGTGTATTTCTCTTTGCCATTTCAGAATGCTAGATTATGGCTCCCTGGCAAATATTGTGTTCATCACGCAGGGAAAGAACATGCTCAGACCTTGATGTGACATTGGAGAAAAAAGGAGAGGGGGGATTTAGTCTATTAAAAATAAAGGGTGGGAAGCTACAATGAAAGAAATACTTTGCTGTCCAAGATGAGTCGTCTTGACTAGGTTTCTATTGAATATTTTCTTCTTTTTTCTATTCAGCTCAAAATACCATATTTTGTGCATCTGAACAAATAACACCCCGTACCCAAAACAACCCCTAAACTTGCTGAACATTTCCAATTAAATGCTTCTCAGGGGTCCCTCAGCTTTTGCGTGTGTGTGTGTGTGTGTGTGTGTGTGGCACAATTTCCCTCATCTTTCCTCACGCTTATTTTCAGACTCATTGGGATACACTGTTGTTTAATCCATTTAGCTGTATTGACCCTCATCACTTTTGTCTGCAAGCTTCCATGACAGCATCCCCCTCAGACAAAGAATTGTGGTTTCACCTCCACTTTCCGGAAACAGTTGAAGACATTTTGTTCCGACAGGTTTTCCCAGCTGGATAAAGGGGTCTTTACCACAAGTGCCCACTTGTTAGGGTTTTACTCCTGTTCAAAGTGGAATGGGGAGTGGTTATTGGTTGGTTCTTTCCTCCAAGACCATTTTATCTTCTCCACCACCCATTTTCTTGTAGAACAATGAAACGCCCATGCACTGTGGCTTAGCTGTAGCGAGATGATTCACCTACATCTGAACTCAGGTCTGCAGCAAGAAAGCTTCTGGGGAAAGGTGAAGCTTTATAAATATTTGAAATCTTACTGTGAGCACGGGAAAATGTGACACATGTTTTATAATGCAATATCTGCTGCAGCACTATTTTTTCAGAGCTTGCTGCCTTTTGTCGACACTCCTCTTGCAATATATGCCATTATTTCAGAGCCAACAGTTAGCACTGTAGCGATGGTTGGGCAATGGGCACTTGCCCTGGACATAGCCTGGGCTGGTGCATGAAATGGGTGCCTTAATATAATGCAATATCTTGGACGTTGTTTTGCAAGAGAAGCGCAGTGGTTCGTGCTTCCTTTTCCTATCTGCTGCTCTTTATCCTCTGCCCCAAACTACGTTATTTATCTCCCTCTCCCTGTTTGACTTCCTTCCCCCTCTTTCTGAGGTTCCTTAAATTAATTTTTTGATATCTATTCTGCATATCCAAATTCATTTAATTTACTCATTTAATTATTTACTTTAAACATATACTCTTATGAACTTGCAGGTTATTACGATAATCCTGCCATTGTTTTTATCTGTTTGCAGTTTAACTGTAAATATTCAATAAAGCATTTCCATTCTTTTATAAAAAGTTTGTTATCTTGATTTCATATTCTTCTGGTAAGTGTCGCCATTTCTGCATATTCCGTAAGTTTTTGTAGACATTCTTCCTTTGCTGGGTCTTCTGCTTCTTTCCATTTACCCCATTCATTTCAATGCAAAGGAAACACAGTGCTGCAGAAGGGAAGGAGGTTGTAATCAATTGCCTATCATTGGAGACTGAAACACCCGCCGTTTCTGTTCCCATTTCCATCAGAATTCTCTTAAAACCCCTACTTGCAATTTGCCAGTGGTCTGAAGGACCTGAACAGTGGTACCTCGGGATAAGTACTTAATTTGTTCTGGAGGTCCGTTCTTAACCTGAAACTGTTCTTAACCTGAAGCACCACTTTAGCTAATGGGGCCTCCTGCTGCTGCTGCGTTGCCGGAGCATGATTTCTGTTCTCATCCTGAAGCAAGGTTCTTAACCCGAGGTACTATTTCTGGGTTAGCGGAGTCTGTAACCTGACGCGTCTGTAACCTGAAGCGTATGTAACCCGAGGATGTGGAACCTCCGGCCTGGGTGCAAAATGGAACTCTCCCCACCCAAGCCAATCTATCTGGGCCTTAGGACCAGGAAAACTGGGACTGGGAGGCAGACTAGATGGAAAATATCTGGGGGCTGGGTGGGGACTGATAGTCCAAAGGTGTGTGTGGGGGAATCGAGGGACCTTCCACCCTCCACAAATGTCTCCCCTCTCTCTTTGCGCATATGAGGTAAACATGGGCACAGCAATCTCAGATTTGCAGCTGAATGTCTCGTTTGCCCTTAGGTGGATACAAAAAACGTAATGTGTGAATTGTCCCTAAATTGAACCCTGGGATGTTCTAAATTTGGATTACTTGACTTGAGTGTATTTAAGTGCATGTTTTTAAAGACTTTGTCTAAATGTGATGCAAATCGGAGCTGATACTTGAGCATCTTCTTTGCCTTAGGTAAAAAAACGAGAATAAATGTGGTAGTTTTAGCTCTAGGGATTCCCTTGATTTGAAAATTCACTGTGCTTGTGATGGGATAGAGATGAAAGAAAACTGGAGACAAAGTTGGGGGAAACAGTTTCTTTTATAGGTAGGGTCTGGTGCATTTAACAACCGCTTGCCCAAAGTTCAATATATAACACTTTTCGCATCACTGCATCTTCATTAGTGCTGTACTGTATTTTTTTTTAGAAGTCAGCATTTTTAGGGGAAAGTTGCCTTTTGAAGGATGCAAGAAGATGCACTCCCCTGCCTTCTATGATTGTGTGTGTGTGTGTGTGTGTGTGTGTGAATGAAATGTTCACATTGTTCTCCAAAATGCTGCTGCTTCATTGCCTTATTTTTTTTAATAATGAATTTTATTAGTATTTTCCACACAACAGCAAAAACACACAAGATATCAAAAGATAACAATACACAACACACAAAAATCAACATTCAAAAACTAAAATAGACCAAAAAAAGAAACAAACAAAACAAAACAAAACAAAACAAAACAAAAGAAACAAATCCATATCTTACAAGTTAATATTATAAACACTAAAACAACAACAAGACATTGACTTCCACCAATCCCACAGCACCTCCTTTATCTCTCATTCTGTCTTCCTGTTTTCCTGTTTTCTTTATCCTCTCTATCCTAACATCTAGATATAAATCCTTCTTTCATGTCCTTTCACTTCACAAGGTTATTCCCATTGCCTTATTTTTTTCATAAAAGGCTTTCACTGCATTAACTCAGCAGGTCTGGAATTATGTAGATATGATGACATCATAGACCTATGTAGCCAATTAGATTTGATGGTGGTATCTTGGAGGACAAAGGAAGCAGTGTTGCCCATGCTCTCTGACCCAGCCCCATTATTGTTTGTTGAAGCACTTCAATACCTGTACTTAAAAACAAAACAAACCAGAAATTCCCCCAAGGACATAAACTTGCAAGTAGTTCCCAAGAAATGGGGTGGATGGATGGATGCGAAACTCATCCCCGGTTTTGGCTCTGTTTTAATTTGCATCCTGAGAAAAGCTTGATATGATTATTATTTTTAATGCAACTTCACAGGCACTGGAGACCTCGCAGCAAAAATGATAGTAGCTCTTAAAAAAGAGGAAGACTCAATAGTACAGCAGAATGCTAAGAAAACGTGTCTCGATGCATTCACATTTTCACTTGGCTATTAATCATGGGACTTCCATACTCAAAAGCAATGTATTTATAATTGGACCACATCTCAACAGTATAAACCCCACTTGGAAGATATCATAGATGCATGTTATTATTGGTGGATGAAACCCTTAGTCTCAAATCATGTTCCAACTGGCAATGAGAGTGACACTATAGGATGCTAATTTTCACACACTCCCTCAACTTCCACCCATGGATTGGGACCTGCTGGATACTTGAGAGTTTCCCTGTTTTTATTTTTAAAGATCCAGGCATACAGTAAAATTGGGAGGTTTCCAGAAGCTGAAATGGGGGAAAGGGGTTCTTTTCAAAAGTGGGATTCCTGCCAAATGAACCTCCTTCTTAGGCTTAAACTATTCCCCACGTTCCATATCACCCAAAACATTTATAAAATGCAGAAAAGGTGAGAGACCATCATGAATAAATAATCTGTAATAGCAGAGATTTCCTGATATGAAAAGAAAAGAATTAAGATGCTCTTGTTTTCAAACAGTACCCTGGCAACTGGGGATTTTTCTAGCTGTGAGCTAGAGAATTACAAATTTTAGACAATGATGTATTGAGGAAAACAAACAAAGGCTGAATATCAGAAATACTCCAGGGGCTGACAGAAATCTCAAGAAGGCACTTTCTCTCTTTTTTTTAAGGTAGTCCAGCTGACAATGACATTTGACGGCATATATTTTCAGTCTTTCGGTAGTGAATTATGAAAACTGTGTAGTTTAAGTATGGGTGTCTTTGGATACTGCTGTTCAAAAATGGAGAAGAAAGTTTGGGGTGAAAATTGCTCATAGAACTACAATTTGTATTATTTCCAGAGAAGTAGCTGTGTTAGTCTTTTGGAGCAAAAGCAGGGGGCGTGTCATCTTAAAAATTAAAAATTATTAATAAACATGTAAGTCTGTAAGGTGCCACAAGACTCTTTGGTAATTTTGTATTATATTTACTTTAGGATCTAGGGAAATGGTTGGTTTTTTTTAAAATTACCTTTTTATTCAAAATTAAAACAAAACATATTATCTAGAAACATATCATCCTTATTTCCCCCTTTTTTCCTCCCTCCCTCCCCCCCCCCCCACAGAACCCACCCACCCCCACCCCCGACTTCCCTCAGTTCCAGTCTTTGATTTCTCTAAAAATCCTGTTTTCTACATGTTACATAGTTATATAGATCCTCAAACTATTTAAGTAATAATTATCAATAAAAAGTTTGTGAATGTTTATTCAAAACCAGCCAAAGAGTCAAAACCAGTTCGCTTTGTTGCGTCTTCAAATACTTTGTAAAGGGTTCCCATTCACAGATATCCTTGTCCCGTAGCTTGTATGTCAGTTTTGCCAGTTCTGCATAGTCCATCAATTTTTCTTGCCATGATTCTTTAGTTGGGGTTTCTTCAGTCTTCCATCCTTGTGCTACTAAAACTCTCGCGGCTGTTGTCGCATACATGAAGATGTTTTCAGCTTTTTTGGCAGATCTTTCCCTACAGTCCCTAATAAAAATGCTTCAGGTTTTTAAACAAATGTTAAATGGAACATTTTCTTCAATTTGTTATATATCATTTCCCAAAATTTTTTAATTACCTTACAATCCAGGATCTAGGGAAATGTTTAATGGATGGCAAACTGCCAGCTGGAAGAATGGATCGTGCCTCCAAGTTTTTACTTTGGGAAGGACCAAAGCTCAGAGGTAGAGCATCAATGTTGCATGCAGAATGTCCTGAGTTCAATTCCCGGCATCTCCAGGCAGTCACTGCCAGTCAGAGTGGGTAGTTCTAGCTGGATGGGCCAATGGTCGAATTAAGTAAAGGCAGCTTCCTATGTTTCTAGGTACAACAATTAAATTTGGGGTGTGATCAAATGTTTGCAAACCACTGATAAGGAAAATACATGTTTTCCACAAAGAAGGATTCCACACTTTGATGTGACAGTGCTGTATGCCGCATGCATGTCGCATGTGACAGCCATCTTCAAATATGTCACATGGAAGATGGAGCAAGCTTGTTTTCTCCTGCTCTGGAGGGTTGGAGTCAAATCAATGGCTCCACATTACAAGAAAGGAGATTCCGACTAAACATCAGGGAAAGCTTTCTAACAGTAAGAGCTGTTCAACAGAGGAATGGTCTCCCTCAGGAGGTTGTGGACTCTCCTTCCTTGGAGATTGGGTGGCCATCTCTCATGGATGCCTTAGCTGAGATTCCTGCATTGCAGGGGGTTGGACTAGATGACTCTTGAAGTCCCTTGTAACTCTACAATTCTACGATTCTATGTAAATACACACATCTGTATGTAGTTCCTTGCCTGAGAGCTCCAGTACTGCTAAACAGTGTTGAGTTTATTATGGAGCCTGGCAGTCACAAGGCAGGCAGAGTCATGCAGCAAAACAAACAAAGCAATTCTGGCTCCATGACCTCTGTCAAGAGAATAAAACAGCCCTTGAGAATACAGAAGTAGGCTAGCCCCACTTGAGACCAAGGGTATTCACCATGCACGTGGCTTTATAACTCAACTTGGAGAGGATTTTTGACATATAGTTTCCCTAAACAATGACCACGGAGCCAGAAGTCAAAGGTTTATAGACTTTCCTTGAATCTCTTATAAACAAGTGTGAATTGATCCTGATGGGATTTCATTTTTGTTGCTGCTCTTTGAAAAAACTTCAAGGCAGGTATGCATGTTGTTTCTGGATCACAGCCCCCAGTCTGAGCATTTTGAATGCAAAGCATTCGTTCCCAAACTGTGTGACGGCGTATGTTGTGGTGCCGTAAGAGAGTATTTAGGGTGCCATGGAAAAGAAATACAGCGAGCCCCAAATGCTCACCCACAAAGGAGGTTGCCACTGCATCTCTGCAAGATATACTGCTCTCGATTTTCTTCCTTCCAGTCCGGCTCTTTGGGGAGACAGATTCATTCTGTCTCTCTGCATGGGTGCAGATGGATCGTTCAGCCACTCCTGATGCAGATGTATGGCCAACTTTTGGCAAGGTATGTTGAATGGGTTACTACTCTGAGCTGGCCTCCTCCCAATCGAGAAACATATCTAGATCAATTACTCATACAGAGCAACAGGAAGTGGACTCCTCTAAATATGGCTCATTCATTTCCTGTAAAATAAATTATTCCACTATGTAAAGGCCCACTATTTCAGCAATAAGGGTGAAGTGTTTGGCTAATTCTGTTTCAGGAAAAAAAGACCTGTGGTCGTCACTGGTAGTTTGGGAAATATAACAGAAATGGGGGGGGGGGGGGAATCAGTTGGTCAGTCAAGTGGGCCTGCAGTTGGTCAGTCCAGTCCTTCAATAGCAAAAGCTCTCAGATTTTGTAATAGCAAAACTCCATACTCAAAACTCCATACTCTCGGGCAGGAGATATAGAAGTAGAATCAGCCGTACCAACAGGCTAAAAAATAGCTTCTATCCGTGGGCTGTTAGGCTGTTGAACGAAAAATAACATAGCGAAATTGACTTGCGAGGTGGTGTGTTGTTCGATAAGACATTGAGTGGGTTTTTTTGGGGAGGGGGAGGCTCGTTTAATTTCATTGTACACAGGTTGTACAGTGACAATAAAGGTATTATTATTATTATTATTAAAAAAAACAGGCCCAAGCACAACACAGCAACAGTGGCAGCTGCACCAAGTGAGAGGCCAAGTTGACCAGCACATAGCTACTGGGGCAAAGCTACTGGGAGACTTGAAAGTGCAACCATATTGATTTTGGACCTCTGTGTTATTCTTGTAAACGGAGCTCTCATCTCCAGAGAAGCTAAATTGAGAATAAGGAAGAGAATGAAGTTTGAAGAAGCTACGTAGCTTCATTGCAGATGGAGTCAAACAGGGTTCAGATTTGTATACAAGGTAACTGGGAAAATGTGCTGTTCCCCTGGGTTATTTGGCCCATCCATTATTCACAGCTCAGCTTTAACTTGTGCTGCCTAAATGGAACACGTCAAAACATGAACAATCAGTCCATTGCGGGGAGGAGAAGGGAAGAGGGTGGCTCTGAGGACACTGTGGAGTTCTAAGAGTGTCTTCAGTCAATGGGCCCTGCAAGCAGCAAGCAACCACCCTCGCTGTATCTGTGCAGGCTCCATTTAGCCATTTGCCAGTAGATGGAGTAGTTAAATCATCTGTCTGTCATCCATCTCTTTTGATCTGTTTCTAAACGGCCAATCTCCACAGTTTGTAGGCACTGTTAAATTCTCACCTCCTGGCTTCAAAGTGCCTTGACAGCCACATCTTTCTTCTGCTGGGCGACGAGTTTTAGGTTTTATAGCGAACCTCTCTGAACCAAGAAAGAGGAAATAGTTCAAGGCTTCCCCGAAGGTGGAATGAGATGAAACAATGGCCTGGTGGCAGGCGGTGCTCACCCTTACTGCTGTGGTGGCAGAGGGGCGGGTGGGAAGAAGAAGGCAGAACAAATGAAAGGGGAAAGAACAGAGCCCACAACGTAATTTCAGTACTACTGTTAGAACTAACTTTTCAACAGGGAGCTGACTGCCCACTAACCCAAACCACATCATCCGTATATTTCCGACCAAAATACAAATAGAGTCCCATTGTGGCAAGACTGCAGACTTTTCCCACGAGATCAGGGATGGATAGGAAACCAGTGTAACTCTAGATGCTGCTGGACTACAACTCCCATCATCCTTGGCTATTGGCCAGGCTGTCTGAGGTTGGGTTGATGGTAGTTGAGGTCCCAACAATATTTTGTGGGCCACAGGCTGTAGGCCAGGGTTGCCCAAACTTGGGTCTCCAGCCTCTTTTTTTGGACTACAACTCCCATCATCCCTAGCTAACAAGAACAGTGGTCAGGGATGATGGCAGTTGTAGTCCCAAAACAGCTGGAGACCCAAAGGCTTACGCTATCCTACCTTGAACCTTGCAATCCCAATCCTTCTGAATGAGCCATCTGTTATCCACCTGAAAATGGCAGCTGCATGCCTTGCTCTTCCTGTTATCTCTGTGACATGTATCTGATGTCATAGCATCACGACAGCCTACCATTGTTAGGACACTGGCTACAACCTGACAACCTATGATGGGGCACAGGAATGGAAAGAAATTTGGAGTATCACAAAACAAGGTAAATTGTACTAAACTTTACAGAGGAGAGAGAGAATAAGGCAAGTGGCCGCCATTTTTGGTGGCAGCTCCATGTTTCTGGCATTGTACTAATGCCAGTGTACTGAAAGAAGCAAAGATCACCATTGTCAAAGCAATGATTCTTCAATATCAACTTTGTTGGACTGGTCATGTTGTTCGGATGCCTGATTATCATCTGCCAAAGCAACCACTCTATTTGGAACTTAAAAATGGAAAGCGTAATGCTGGCTGCCAACAAAAGAGGTCCAAAGACTTTCTCAAGGCAAATCTAAAATATGTAGTATAAACACAGACAACTGGGAAACACTGGCCTGCAAGGGCTCCAATTGGAGAACAGCCTTTACCATAGGTGTCATGGGTTTTGCAGATGCTCGAATTCAGGACAAAAGGGAGAAACACGCTAAGAGGAAGGCATGCTTGGCAAACCCTCACCATGATCAGCTCCTGCCCAGAAACCTATGTACCCACTGTGGAAAGATGTGTGGATCCAGAATTGACCTCCAAAGTCACTTACTGCTTCACTTTTAAAACCATGTTTATGGAAGACAATCTTACTCGGCTACGAGTGATCGCCATAGAAGACGACTGTACTAGCCTTTGTTTCGCTTCTTGTATAGCCCCAAAACCTATGCCAATTTGTGGCAAAATGACTTGAATTAATACCTACCATCACCATATTAAAATGTTTAGAGAAAGGAATTTATGTAAACCATGGGAGGAGGGACTTGTGGACTACTTGACTACATCCCAGCATCCTTGGCCATTGGTCATACTGGCTGGAGCTGATGGGATTTGGAGTTCGACAACATATGGAGGGGGCACACGGTCCCTACACTGATGTAAAAACCCCCACAAAACCCAATTTTTTAAAAAAATAAAACAAAGAGCCATGTCCCACATGCATAATATTTGGGTGGGTCTGAATTTTCTGGCGACAAGAAATAATATGAGCATTTCTTTTGAAGTGCAAATTCCATTCCCTCCTCAATATAGGCTTGCCTCGGTGCAAGCATTACACTGAAGGTAAAAAAAAGAAAATGGACATTCTGTGCTTGTTAATGACTCTGAAATCAATCTGCAATGGCTGTTTCATCCGCAATTCGGCTGCAGTTTGAAATTTAAGAGAGAGAAAGGGAGTATACATCTGCTTGGCTGGAAGCAAAGTGCAATTCTACACTGAGGCAATATGCATATCAATGGACACTGGCCAGAAACCAGAGCTTTGTGGGTGGAAAAAAAAAATCTATTTAACAGACAATGGAAAATCAGCCAGTCTGAAGGCATGTGTTGGCTGTTCCTGGGAAGAAGAAAAGACAGAATCGTGTGTAGTGGGGAAAATAAGGGCTTTTAGAAGCCCACAAAGCGCAGGTAGAGATGAGAAGAAAAGGATCAAACGTTTCAAGGGATGGCTCACAATTGAAATGTGAACCCCAGGCAATTTTCAAACGCCCTCCAAATAAATCCCATCACTGGTATGTGGCACTTGTTGCCCTTATCCTAACGTTTTTTGTTTGAAGACAAACCTTTCAAGCTCAGATCTATGCTCTGCTCATTGCATCAAGCGACTGCTAAACAAAGCTGGCAAATGATCCCTCCCTCCATCTTTTCAAGCAGATTCAATGGCCCGGTGGCTTTTGATGCGTTTCCAGCAGAAGCGGGTGTTAAGCCACCTACGCATATTCCACAGCAGCTCCCACTTAGGTTGTGGCCATTATCATAGCATAGGATATGACCTCTCATATCCACTTCTGGTCCTCTGAGACTTCACTTACTAGCCAATAATTCCCGGTGGGGTAGGGGCAGGCTAATCTGTCAACTTTGGTTTCTCTCAGTTTTTCAGTATTCCAATCTTGAGTTCAGTTCTGGACATTTCCACATCAGTTTGCATTTAAAAGATAAATAAATACATCGTTACGAAAATGCATCACATTTTTTGTGCAAATTTCTCCCAATAAACACATCATTTTATGCAATTTTGCCTAATATACACATTTTTGCATATCTATTTCCCCCAATGTATTGCATTTCCCGAATTTGAGCCTCCAGCCTTTTTTTGGACTATAACTCCCACCATCCCTAGCTAGCAGGAACAGTGGTCAGGGATGATGGGAATTGTAGTCCCAAAGCAGCTGGAGACTCAAATTTGGGAAACCCTGCTCTAGGTGGTTACTGCTCAGGCTGCTGCTGCCCTCAAAGGCTTACGCTATCCTACCTTGAACCTTGGAATCCCAGCCTGCAAAGCCACCTGCCTGAAGAGGGGCCAAACAGACTTAATAAACAAAAGTAGCTTTCAAAGTGAAGGGTTGTGAGACTTCTCATTTCCTTGATCAGCTCAAGGAAAGCGATACCTTTGAGAATGTGCTGGTCCTATATGTAAATGAAAACCTAAACTTCGTATCTCTTGGCAGAGTTTTCTTCTAATCTTCTAGTTTTTATATTCCAGTTATTTAAAGGGAAAGTTCTCAGGCGAGTTTATAAATGGCTCAGTTAAGTAAACAAGTGCATCATATATGCCTTCTTGATGTTGACCAGCCTTCATCAGTCTGGGGTCCTCCAGATGTGTTGAATTCCAGCTCCCAACCACTTTGGCCAGCATAGTTTGCTGGTTGGGATTAATGGGAGTTGTAGCCCAAACTTTCAGGACACCATCTCCAAATGCTTGGTACAGCCTTAAATGCTTCCCAAGTATTTGGCTCACTATGTACCAGGCGATTAAGTATCTCTAAGATATGAAACTGCAAATCTGCCCAGGGATAGGGAAAGGGATTTATGAACAACATTTTTCTGGCTGCTTCCCAGCGAAGGATATGCATAATACTGAGTGGTATCATTTGACAGAGAGAAGAAGAGAGGAAATCTTCACATTCTTTACCCATCCCTCCTTGCCCCATATATTTAAAAAATACGACCGTATATGCATTTCCTCTCACTCAACAGTTTATATGTGTGTCTCTCTCCAATGTTTTTATTTTAACATTAGAGGCTCCACAATTTTCACATCCCCCAGTCATCCAAAAGCCCTGTTTAAATGACACTACTTATTGTTCATATGATCCCAATATGGACCTGCTGTATTTTTTCTTCTTTTAAAAAACCCTCAATAGTTTTCACCAGGGTACCATTAATTGTTACAAAATGTGGTTTGCTTAATGTACTGACATTAAACAAAGCCAGATGTAGCTAAGGAGTGAAATATCCAGATGAAATTATGATTTAACGGAGAAACTATGTGTGGATTAAGGTATACGAGTGCATGTGTGTGTAGCTGACAACCATTGGAAGATGCAATCCATAGCCCCATCTGTCTTTACAAACCAATTCTCTTTATTCTTTTATTGCTGGGATGGTTTTAATATTGTATTCATCTTATACATGTATTGGGAATGGCCTTGGGAGGCCCTTGCAGGGCAGAAAGGTGTTACATAAATGTATAAATAAGATCAATAAAATAAATTTGCCAGTCATTGTCAGATGGTTTTATTTGATGCCAAATCTGTCTTGTGATATGTTTCAGAGTGACTTAAATGCCCATTTACAGAAATTGAGATGTCTCCTTCCAAAGATAGTCCGAGGGTTTTGCAGAAACAAAGAAGGCCTATAACTGGTCCATTCAAGCATGTTACCCCATTGTCCAGAAGAGAAACAGAGTACACCTCTGGGGAGAGAAGAATCAATCAATTTCTGTCACATATGTTCATTCTATCCCATTTTCATTGCCTTTTTTTTTAAAAAAAAGTCTGCATAAAGGTTCACATTCAAATATGAATTTGAAATGTGCTTTTTCTCAAAATATACATTTTAAAAAATACTTTGATTTATTTATTTTAGCCAAATATTAAACATCTGGGAAGTGTGCATGTTGGTGGACAACTCAGCCATACGCAGCTAAGCGATACAAAACCAGGAGGTGTGGAATCAGGTCAGTCCATTTCAGAATTTGCAAAGAGTGAATTCCTTAAGCATCCCTCACCTTCCTCTGGCACGCTGGGTTCTCCCTTCAGACATGCACTGCCCGTCACATCTTTTGCATCCTGTTAGTATCTCCCGTTTCCAGGCTTTCTTCATAATTGCCTTCTTCATCTGGAAGATGAGGTTGATGATATATCTGTCTCTTAATGGAGTGAAGGTGGCCTTCTCATTAGGGAAGATTAACTCATAGGTCATATTATGTTAAATTGATTAAAGTAGGTGCTGGCTGCGTGTATAATAATATCGCAGTAATAAGGGTTTAGGAAAGGAAGCTTTCCTGTGTCTGTCCAATTCCAATGTGAGATTTCTGCCTCTCTCTCTCTCACGCACACATTGCTGCCTTTGAGGTGCTAAAACAAAGAAACTCTTGTTAAGTGTGCACAGAGAGGCGGGGGATCCATCTTGAAATGTTAGTACTTCCTGCAGATTTGGTCCCATTCACGATAGTGAGTGTCACTACACATGCTGGTTCAGCACTTATGATGGGACAGATCCCAAGTCTCTGGAGCCTTGAGGAGATGATCAAACTGAGCAGAATGTCAGGATGACAAGTTGGAGCCAAAGGACCATTTTGTTTCCTTGAGAGCGTTTTGCTCTCACCTGTGACTCCCCATCCACCAGGCTGCATCAGTGGGTTTTCCAACAGTGCCAGCCCTAGGCCCCTTAGCCATGGTCCATTGATGGGCTCTGCCCCCTAACCCATGCAGCTATACTTCTTTGTCTGCCTGGCTCTGTCTCCTGAATTCACCAACCTTCACCCACTGCTACAGGGTCTGAGCCTCAATCAACAGAGCAAGACCAATACCACTGCTTATACAGTCGTACCTTGGAAGTTGAACAGAATCCGTTCCAGAAGTCTGTTTGGCTTCCAAAATGTTTGGAAACCAAAGTGCTGCTTCTGATTGGCTGCAGGAAGCTCCTGCAGCCAATCGGAAGCCGTGGAAGCCCCGTTAGACGTTTGGGTTCCAAAGAATGTTCGCAAACCGGAACACTCACTTCTGGGTTTGCGGCGTTCAGGAGCCAAAACGTCTGAGTACCAAGGCGTTCGGGATCCAAGGTACGACTCTATGTTGGCGCAATGGGGGTCTCTAGTGAGTGTGTATGTTTTAGGTTTTCTTTCAAAGGTAGCGTTTCCCATAAAAAGAAAGCCTGGTTCCCCAAGGGGTCATAGAATTGCCGAGTTAGAAGCAAGCCTGAGGGTCATCTAGTGCAATTCCCTGCAATGCAGAAATCTCAACTTGATCCTACATGACAGGTGGCCATCCAACCTCTTCTTAAAAACCTCCAGTGAAGGAGAGTCTACCACCTTCTGAGTGAGTTGGTTCCACAGTCAAACAGCGCTTACTGTCAGTACGGTGGTACCTCGGGTTAAGTACTTAATTCGTTCCAGAGGTCTGTTCTTAACCTGAAACTGTTCTTAACCTGAAGCACCACTTTAGCTAATGGGGCCTCCTGCTGCCACCGCACCGCCGGAGCACGATTTTTGTTATCATCCCGAATCAAAGTTCTTAACTATTTCTGGGTTAGCGGAGTCTGTAACCTGAAGCATATGTAACTTGAAGCGTATGTAACCTGAGGTACCACTGTACATTATTCCTGATGTTTCGTCGGAATCTCCTTGCTTTGAGATTGTGAAATGTTTGATGATGGAAAGATTGCTGGCTGTTTCACTAGACTTCTTCCAGGACTTAAAGCTACTGAGATTTTTTTTGAGATATGTATTGTGTATGTTTTTCTTTTCTTTCTTTGTTGTTCAAAACTTAAATAAAAATTATTTCTTTTAAAAAAATAAAGCTACTGAAGAATGAGGTGGGAAGGAGGAGGTTCCCGCCTCACTTCTCACCTCAGTGCCTCACAGGAAGCCTGAACCTCTGAGAGGGCCTAAGCAGTAGGATGATGGCCTCCTTGATCTGATAAAAAACTCCATCATTGTCCAGTAATGTGTCCTCACAGTGGCCAAATTGATGCCTATGGTGAGCCCACAAGCGGGCCCTGGGTGAAACAGCACTCTGCCTGGTTGCCTTCCCAGCAACTGGTATTGAGAGGCATAATGCCTCAGAGAGTGGAGGGAGAACACAGCCACTGTGGTTAGTGGCCACTGATAGGCTTATTCTCCATGACTATGTCTAACCCCCTTCTAAAGCCATCCACATTGCTGAACATCACTACATCCTGAAGGAGCAAATCCCATAGTTTATGTGCTGTGTGGAGCAACGCTTCATTGTGTGCCCCCTTTAAAGGTGTGCAGTGGTCCTTAACTCATTGTGGGTGCTTCTACTTCTCTTGTGTCAAAATGCCAAACGGTAGCATTGGACTGAAAGAGCATTTCAGATCTGGGAGAGATGCAAAGGCCCCAGAAGAGTACAATGATGTGTCAGCATCCTATTGGCTCCCAGAGCAGAGCAAGGAGCAGGAAAGGAAAGAATAGTTGGCAAAACCAGAAAGATGCATTTGTTCCAGCAGTCAGGCTGCCTAGCAAACCTCTCCCCCGTCTCCTCTCTGTCTTCTCCGGGCTCTTTCTCCTACCCGACAGCCTATTTCTCTTCTCATTACGCCATTCCTGTTCTCCCCAGTGATTAAGTGCACCTTCTTCCTAACCAAGGAAAGCAGTTGCCGCTTGGCTTCTGGAGACATAAATAAACAAAAAAGGTCAGAGACGCAATCCCTGGTGGAAGCAGACAAGGACTGAGACATCCTGATAAACTTTGGCTGTAGAGTTGCAAAGATGGCAATGAATTAAAGGGGATAAAAACGCAACCCAATTATGTATGCAGATGGGGAGGGAGTCTGGAAGTAACTGAACACATCATTTAAAGGAAATAAAAAGGGGGGAGAAACTAGCAACTGATTTAAATGTCTCGGATCCCTGCTGAGACTCATTTCCTAAACCAGGATATGTAGTCTGCCATTCCGTCTGGGTTTTTTCCTCCCAATTTCCTTGGCTTTTTTCCCAATGGCTGGCTTTATATATGTGTCGGGGAGGGGGAGGGGATTGTATCAATTTATGCTTTACTTATTGTTTAGAATCCATGATGTCATACTCTGAGATCCCTTGGAATCAAATACACCCAGATTTCTGAATTTCAGAGCATTCCACCAACATTTTTTTTCACCCCAGCCCCCCACCTCCAGCCCCACATACAAGTTTGTGATGAGCAGTTCGATTCAAAGAGCTCCTTGACTTCACAGCTTTCAACTTTCTTGCTCGGAAGTAAAATCCTCTAGAAAAATTGCTCTCCGGCAAAATGGAAAAGGTAGCAGTGCATTTTCTCTGAACCAGGAAAGGTTGTAGGCAGGTAGAAACCAGATTTCGTTGCCAGCAGAAATGTAAGGACCATCCCCATGTTCAGTAGCAGGTCCAGGTTAGGTCAAGGTTGCCACTTCTCTGTTGCAAAGTGCACATGGAGGTGAGATCTAACCCAAGGATATAATCACTTGTTTGGTTTAAGGAAGCGTAAACAGACATGTAATTTCAACACACAATTTTAACGTAATTTCATTATGTGTATTAGTTTTAAAACTACTGATATTATTTATAATCATTACATTTTATATGCCAATTTGTTTTAAACTTTTGATTTTATCAGTATTTCAGTTATCTATTTTATCTATATTTTATATACATTTTAAATTTGTATTTCACCTGTATTTTTAATAATATTTTTATGTAAACCAATTTGCCAGTTAAGTGATCTAGAAATCCACTGGGCAAGCTGAAATAGACAGGACTATTGGAAGCGCTTAATTCCTCCCTAAGTGTTGAAAATTGTAGTATTCTGGGGGGGCCACTCGGGGGCGCATTGGAAGATGGCCGACAATACCATCTCTCCGACCCACACGGGGTAATTAAGAGGTTGTTATGGGAGTAGGCAGCCTCCCTTGTTGCCCCAAGGAAATGGGGAACACTGCCCTTGCCTGCTGTGCCCATAAATCACCCCCTAATTCGAAAGAAGGGGGTGAGGGCCCTCGGCATAATGCCCCCGTGTGGACCTCGGCTCTCCTGGACGCTGTCTCTGATCGCGCACTAGCTGCAGCAATTTGGAATAATTAATTACAAATGAAGCAAATGCACATATTTCAAGTGAAGAAGGGGAGTGAAGTCTGCTAATTTAAGTGACCTCTGCGAAAGAAGACAACGGGTTGGAGAAACAGGAATATTTTACGATGAAGATACACCAAAGGCTGGGTATGTTGACAACGGGACTGAATGGGGGGGGGGACCTTTTTTACTTTCCTTCTATGTGATTTACAAGAACCCCTCCTCATTAGAATTGTTGGTTGAACTGACCCAAGCAGGATGATTAAGGTCTGTGTGGAGATAAACTTTAACCAAAAGTATGCTTTATGGAGACCGAGAAGCAATAAGAGCTTTTGGAATGGCGCAGCAATTAATTCAGAGTCGCCATCTTGCCAAAGGATTTATAGCCAAGAGAAGGAATGGACTTGTTTTCAGACTGCATTCCTGGTGAATCTCCTCAGAGGTTTTGAGAAAGGAGGCAGATTGGTGAAGATTAATGACGCTAAGACTGTTTTGATGTATGGAAGTGATGTTACATGGAAAACGTCTGGATATGGCTACTGGATAAAAATAATAATATCCACGCAGGATTACAAACTGTCTAACCAGCTTGTGGAGACTATCAGAGGTCACAAAGAGAAAGGAAAAATATATGAAAATAACAACAAGAGATGTGGAAAAACAAGAAGAAAGGACTGGATAGTACTGTGAACATCATAAGGTTAGATTTGTGGACATTAAAACAGCAGTAAGAAGCAAGAAATTGATTGGATCCCCTTCAGAACTTGAAATATGGGTACCCCCAACAAAAATTTAAAATTTGGCTGTGTAATTTGGAATTTATGTAATTTGGTTTGATTTGATGTGATTGGTCGGTTAATAAAAAATTATTCTTAAAAAAAAAAGAAAATTGTAGTATTCTGAATAGCTGGATTCTTTAAAATTGGTGGGTCAGAAGAAGTATTGGTACTCACTTTGGGGAGTTTCCATGATGCTCTGATCATGCCTCCTTCATTACTCACTGTCCCACTGATATGAAGCGGCGTGATCAATGGAAGTCGTGCCTCCTGTTTGAAAGGAAGCTTACCCAGGTGAGAAGAAGAGGCCCAGAAGATGACCTCCTGGAAGGACAAGTAACTCTGTCACATTTCTGCATTGGATTGAATCATCTAAGAAAGGCTGCACTTCACGTTTGACTCTTGAAGGTTTCTGCCCATCCATTTATGGGCGAGAGTCACCCCCTCCCCAGTCTTCACTAATCCCATAGACCCATCAGCAGTAATTCATCCTTGGCTGCTAGATTCTGTATGTGGCTTTAGCCAGAAGAGACCCAAAGAACAAGGCATGAAAGGTTAATAGAAGGCAGAAAGCTTCCTCGAGTAATCACAAAGGAAAGCCAAGCAGCACTCGAGGCAGATGCTCGTTCGGAAGTGACACTGAACCCCCTCTGGAAGACTCGGCACTGTATCATGCAAAACAGAACACCCTTAATTTAGGATTTAATAGCTCCGAATCTCTGGTGGGTTGAGAGAGGGATATTAATTCTGCCACAATATTGGATTAGAGTGGAGGCAATGGAAATTTGTCTTACCTGTTGTATTGATTTAACTCGAGCAGATAATGGCCTGACATGAAACAGTGGAAATGAAAAGGAATCCGCCTAAGCCTGCAATCCCAATGCGATTCAGAGGATGTTGCAGCAGGGCTACCTGCAAGTCGGGGCTGGCTGCCGCATTACGGAGAAGTGTTGCCGGCGCTTCTGCAAGGCTGCGCCGGTAAGCTTTGCAATGAGAAGGCTTCATGCATAATTATAGGGATTGGCAGTAGGAGCAGAGTGGCTTCTGTTCTGGCTAAGGTAAAGGACCATAAGCTAGAACAGAAGCCACTCTGCTTCATGTAAGAGTTGGACTCTTTCAGCGAAGTCCCTCTGTCATGCTACGTTATCTTGTAGTGGCAGGTTTTACAGCGTGGCCCTCCCAACACCAACACTGCCCCTCCCTGGGAGATGACGATTTGGGGAAGGGGAAGGACCTACATTGTCCTTCTCTCTAACAAACATTACTTTTAGAATCATACATTTGGAAGGGACCTCCAAGGCCAGCAAGACGAACCCTCTGCTCACGGGTGCCAACTTGAATAAAATATGGCACATAATTGATCACATGACAAGGTGCATGCACACCATTTAAATGGCAAGGCCCATCAACTTAGGGGGCAGCCCCCTCAAATATTTTATTGGGGAGGTTGAAGGCCCCGTGGCCCCTAGGAGTTGGCTCCTATGCCTCTGCTGTTGAAAGAACTCACCAGTACGGCAGGCATGAGAGAGGGGGGGTCAACCAGCCTACCCCAAAAACCTCTAATGCAGGGGGGTCTGCCACCTTTTGTGATAGTCCTGTTTCTTTGTCTCCTCCTGTTCCCAAATCCCTCCTGTTATGTATTCAGACTGGCTGCAGTTCTCACTCTGGGCCACCAGTATGCAAATGAAGGATTGAGAGTTGCTTTCACCGATTGGGTAGTTAGTTGGAATTTGTTACTGTTACAAGTTATTGAGCATTATATAAGGCAGCCAGCTTCACTGTTGTTCAGAGAGACTTAGAGCACTGCTAACTGCTGTAATAAAGAGCTGTTGCTTAAAAGAGCTGTGTCTGTCGCCCATCTTTCCCACTATACAACACCTCCCATCACAGGACACCTCGCAAAAGAAGTCCTTGCCCAGCTTCAGCCCTTTGGAGCACTGCTGAAAAGTGCCATATAAATGTCATTCTCATGGAAATGCATTGTTTTCCTTCACCCACACCGTTCAATGACTTCTGTTTCTACCAGTTTTACTAGGTGATCTCACATCTACTGCTGAGCATGGTCTTTAAAAGGCTATCTCAATTTTAACTGGAGGTCACCTCTTTCCAAAATTCCATGGAGCAAGAGGTGCAGGGGATAAGCAGCAGTTGGCATCATGATTTTCCAGCAGTTTCATAGGGTACAAAAGTACGGCATGTGCACTGCAAAATCCACACCATCTGTTACAGGGTTAGCCATTTGGACTGAAGCTCAGCAGGGAAGATTATACCATATGAGTGAATCGGGGCCACTGCTTCCTCGTTATTGATTTGATATATGGGTATTTATTTGTTTATTGCCTATGTATCCCACCTAAGAACATCATAAGAGCCTGATGGATCAGACCAGTGGCCCATCTACAATCCTGTTCTCACACTGGCTAACCAGATGCTTGTGGAAAACCCTCAAGAAGGATTTGAACACAAGAGCCCTCTCTCCACCTGTGGTTTCCGGCAACTGGTATTCAGAAGCATTGCAGCCTCCAATTTTGGAGACAGAGAATAGCCATCACCATCCAAAAAGCTCAAGGTAGTTCTGTTCCTCTCCTTTTTTAAACCTCAAAACAACTTTGTCAGGTAGGTTAGGCTGAGAGACTGTGGCTGGCCCAAGGTCACCCAGTGAGTTCTGTGGTTTAACAGGACATGTGGGTTCATATGGGAGAGAGCAGTCCTTCCTAGTTACGAGCAAAAAAAGACAATTAAAGACTTCATTGTCCATTATCAAGAGCTGGACTAGTCAAAAACCTAGAGAGAGGACCCTGTTTTGTATATCCAAAGAGCATCCATACTACAGAATCCAACACAGAATTTGGAATTGCGAGAATGGGGGCAGTGTTGGTTGGGGTTTTGTTTTTTTTAAGGACTGTGTTTTTAGGCCTTATAGAGAGATATTTGAACATGATTAGGTGGTCTTGGTGAAACTAGGTAGCCAGTGCAGCTGTGACATATGAGTTACAACCAGGATGACCTGGCAAAATTCATTACTTGAAGTGGAGATTCAATTTCACAGTGGCTTTGATAAGAGGGGCTCCTGTACTCATGCGTCAAAGTCAATAAGACTTTTGTATTGGGTAAGAGAGTCTCATGGGCAACAGTGTTCGGGTCCTCGATTCCATCATCTCCTGTCTCTTTGTCAGATACTGTTCTGCTAAAAAGGCCAATCAGGAAAAGTTCTGCCAGTCTGCTCTAATAGGTTTTTTCCCTCTGATCTAACCTGACACCTTTGATGACAAGAAGGTGAACTGTGAAATGTCTTGAGAGTGCGATGGGATTATACTTCCTCCCACCAATCAAGCCAAAAATCTCCCTCCCCTTTGATGCTCTGATGTAGACTTGCCTGCTTTAATTCACATCTCCGAACCATAGGGAAATGATCCATGGCACAACTAGGTCACGACAGGCACAAGAAGAAATATGAGTGTGCCTGTGGAACTCTGCCAAAGCTGGAACTATTCATTTTGGGTCTGAGCTTTAGAGATGTTCAGCACTGGATGAGAGATGCAGGTGCTCTCTGACTTGTATGATCATATACAGGCCGGCGTGGAAAGCCAGCATGGTATAACCCTGGGAGACCAGGGTTCAAGCTATGAAGCTCACCATGAGCCACTTTCTCAGCCTAGCATAACTCACAGAATTTGTGTAATGATAATTGAGGAGGGGAAGAACCATGTATACTATACTACCTTGTGCTCTGTAAAGGAAAGGTGGGGGGGTATATATATTTATATACCTATATCCATATATATGTATTTAAAACTCAATAATATTTTTCCTTTTGTGGGCAAACAAATAGGGCTTGCAGAGGAAAACCTCCCAGTGGATTATGTCTCCAAACCAATTAGCATTAAGCTCATAGAGATGAGTGTGTGTGTGTGTGTGTGTGTGTGTATACACACACATACACAAAACAGAGGTGTTGTAAACTTAAATGTTTCAGCTGATTGCCAGCCTTTTAACAAACTGATCTAATCTATCACCTCTTTTTATAAAGGAAAATATATATATTCTGCTTTTCCACCCACTGGGACCTCCATGCAACTAACAACAATATAAACAAGCCAACACAATTAATAAATAATGTCCCTAAAGGCAGATAGATTATTTATATCTTTCTCACTGTTAGGAGATTCTGAATGTGCACCCTTGCTTTGTAAATTGAAAACAAGGTATTAGGCCATGGGGATTCTAATAACCAACAAAATAACCTGCAGACCTCAAGACTGAAGTAACCCATCCTTGGTAGAAAAGGCAAACACCACTCACTCCTCTTGTCAAATAGCCAAGTGAAATAGAAACATCTCCATAAATCTTTTTAAAGTGCTGACAATAAAGCTGACCTGGGAAATTTTCTGAAACAGGGCACTTCAAAACATGGGAAGGGTCACTCAGTCCCACTGTGTCCCCATTTCACCACCTCCTTTTTTTTGTTTTGTTTTTCAGGTCCACAATAACTGCCCCAAACCCCTTTGCTTTAATTCAGGATTTGCAGTCTCATAACCAGTGTTGCTTGGGAATTCTAAGAAAAGTTTGGTCTGCCATCTTCATTCAAAATGGTGCCCAGTTGCATCCAAACAAACAGGAAAACCTGTTCCTTGATGTCAGGAATCTTCATGCAAAATTTTGTTATGAAAACACATAGCGAACAAACAACTTTCCAAAACAGTGGCTATATCCTTATCAGTAGTTGTGTGTATGTGGTGCTCTTTCAGGAATTAAAAAACACACCTACCCTACAAATATTATTGCATTTCTCCTCCTGTTTCAGGGGCTTTCTTCAAGAGAGGGGAGCACTTTCTTGAGGAATGCATTATGCATATACTGGAGATCCATCTGGTTGTGAATTCTCCTCTTGTATCAAACCAAGCGCATGCGTGCAGGGAGATTAAAACATAGCTGTATTTTGGTCTAGGCAACATATTCTCTTTCCATTTGGAAGAACAACAAAGCCAACTGTCAGCTGTGCAAATAATAGGACATTTATTTTTGCAGCAATAAACATCTGAGAAGTTCTATCCAAGCCACCCAAACAATATTACAATTCAGTGCAAAAATAAGCATCCCACAGCCCTTTCCGGGAGAAAGGAAAATATGCTGATACATCGGCTCGAGGGGGGAATTTAGATGGCTGCTTGCCTTTCCATCCACCATGGGCAGATCCCAGGAACAGGGATGTCTCAAGAGATCTGGTGTCAGGTACCAGCACCTGAGAGAACAGAACACAGATTTCCTCCCACCCCTTGTCCAGAGAACACATCTCCCCTGTCTAAACTCCCTTGCCAATTGAGATCCCTGGATGGGACCCTGCTAATGATATCATCTTCAAAAGAAAGCAGGCAAGATCCAAACACCTCCATGCACCACATTTATGCTCACACAGATAGTGCCTTCTTCTTTTGACCACTCCTTGTGCCTCACTAGCTGTCACTCTAGAAGACCCCTGTCTGGGGGAAACTTGCTGGAAAGCCACCATATGCAAACCATATGCAAACCATATGCAAACAACAGTCTATATTTCAGCCAATGGCAGACAGAAGAGGAGGTTGGGCTTCTTAGCAGCAACACCAAGGCTCAGGAATGAGTGACCAGAGGCGGCATAACATCACTATGATGTATGTGGCCCCTCTGTTTTGCCATACCATCACAAGTCGAAGGATGGATTCAAAGATTCTTAGCTGCATTCTGGGATCTTTATGTGTTCATTGTTTCTTGTGGTTAGATTTTTTTTTAAAAAAAGATTTCCACTCACTCTAATCGTGACAGGTTTTATTTTAGAAAAATAAATAAATTATAAGCTGCCTTCAGCTTGTGGGGAGATAGCTAAATATTAAAAGTAAACAAATCAGTATTTTGTGCTATGCAGATAATGATAGATTCTTCCCATTTCCTTAACTCATTGGATATTTATCAGGCTTTGATTGGTTCTCAGTCTCCAGGTCCTGTTTCTGATTGGCTGGGAGGACTGAATTGCTTTTTCAGCCCAAAGGGAACCGCCCAGGCATGAGTATTCTGTTATCAGTCAATAACCAGTAAGTAAATGGAGACCACATACCAAGGAGCTGAAAACATCTCTGGAAAGCCTGGACCATGGATGGAAGACTTCATTGGAGACCACATACCAATGAAGTCTTCCATCCATACCCCCAGACTTTCCAGAGACCTTTTCAGCTCCTTAGGTTCTTTTTGTTGTTGTTTTGGCTTTTACACTTCCATGGATACTGAGCCCAACTCAAAGGCATGGATAGTGGTTATTGTCTTCCATCCAACATACCAGTCTCAATGACCTCATCCAGGTGAGCTGTTGCCAATTGGCAATTGGTGGAACTCAGCCCACTGTGAGAAAGATGGAGGAAAGCAGGGAATGTGGTACACTCGAACCAGGAGCAAAGAGGGAGCGTCCGATCAGAAACACCCAAATTGGATTTAGGAGGTGGAGTGAAATAATTGTGTGGGGATTCGGTCTCTGGATGGTTTGTTACATTTGTATACCATGCTTCTTGCGATACAGCAGGGGTGGAGAACCTCAAGCCCCAGGGCCCAAAAGCCATGGCCCCTGGGCCTGTCTCTTTGGTTCTTGGGGGTCTCCCCAGGCAACCCCCATCACTAGCATTGCTTCACAACCTCCTTGAGTGTTTCTGCTCGTGTCCTTGAACTGTGACAATTACTCTTGGCTGCCTGGGTGGAGCACAGAGGGGAGTGTGTGAATGTCTGTAGAGATTAGCCTACCATGCAAAGCACATTCTATATAGCATACAACACATTCATTGCTCTGTCTGCTTTTGCCTTTGGCCCCATTCATCACTGGGAAGTTTGCCCAGAAAGTTTTCCCACCTCATCTATAGAAAATTGTTTCTGTAGAGGACCTGGTGCTTGTCCAGTGAAAGGAGTAAATCTTCCAGAGCTTTAGGCTCCCCAAAAGGATAAGAATAAATAACTGTGAGCTACAACTGCTGAGCAATAGCAATAAAGTGCCTGCTTAGGGGGTCAAGCCCTTAATCTGAGCAGAAAACGGATAGTACAGTTGCAATAGGGTTGCATGGAAATATAAGTCGGTGGTCTTGGGGTGCGCGAGTTTCTGTATGCATAACCTGAAATAATGAGCATTTTTACATGTTTCTTTTTCATAGAATCATAGAATGGTAGAGTTGGAAGGGACCACGAGAGTCGTCTAGTTGAACCCCTGCAACCTAGGAATATTTTGCCCAACATGGGGCTTGAACCCACAATTCTGCTATTAAGGGTCTCATGCTCCATTGATGATTTTTAACTATCTCTAGGACTTGAGAGCAGGGGAAGGAAGTTTCCATACAGATTTGGAATTTGGGCATGTTGAAATCAGGGTATCAAAATTCCTGATACCCTTCAGTTTGAGGAATTCAACAGACGGGGAACGTAAGCAAAATTTCAGTTTGGCTCTTCTGCCCCTCACTTCCAAGATGCTTCTCCTTCTGCAGCAGTGGGAGGATGAAAAAGGCTGTTTGCTTCCATGCTGGAAAAGCAGGCTCTCAAAACCTGGTCTCTTGAGCCAGCATCCCAGAAGCTGTGCCTGTTCCCTCCCAATAAACCTTCCACAATAAACTGTGTGGGATTGGCTTTCAATTATGTAAGCATCGCCAGCCAAGTCAGCTTGCAGATAAATTATTTATGCCAAGTCGCTGAATGCACGGCTGCATGAACAATGTGTTCGCATTAATAAACCCAACTGCAAACTCAAAACAGATCTGGGGCAGGAAAATTGAAGCAGAAAACCCTACATACCACTAGATATAATGCCATCAAATTTCAATGGCATTGACTTTTAGCTTATTGCATTTTTTCACATTACTCTCCAGTGTGCTAAAATAAGGACTCATTTTGCTCTGCCTTATCTTTTATTTGGTTTACAAGGGTTATGCAGAAGACAGCAGTGGCTGTCTTCAACCATGCGCCCTCCAGATGTTTTGAACTACAGCTCCCATCAACCCTAGCTATTCTGGCTAGGGCTGATGGGGGTTGTAGTCCAAAATAACTGGATTATTTTATTTTAATTTATTATTTATATGCTGCCCAATTATTATTTATATGTTGCCCCAGCCACTCTGGGTGGCTCTCAACAGAATATTAAAAACACAATAACATATCAAACATTAAAAACTTCCTTATGCAGGGCTGCCTTCAGATGTCTTATAAAAGAAGATAGTTGTTTATTTCTGTTTGGAACCAGTTTGGCTAAGACTTCCTTAGAGGAAATGAAGACTGTGGAGGCTGTAAATGTCTGGGATTTTGGTGCAAATACAAAGGTGCTGCTTTTCCCAATCAGTGTCCTGGACATGTTTTTTATTTATTGACATTGTTTATATAATGTAAATAAATAAACATATTTGTTTTAGTGTACAGTGGTACCTCTGGATATGAACGGGATCCGTTCCGGAGCCCCGTTCACATCCAGAAGCAAACGTAACTAGCGATGTCACGTCTGCGCACGCGTGCATCGCTTTTCGTCGGTTCTGCGCATGCATGTGACATCATTTTGAGCATCTGTGCATGCGCAAGCGACGAAACGCAGAAGTAACGCACTCCGTTACTTCCAGGTTGCCGCGGAGCGCAACTCGAACGCGCTCAACCCAAAGCGTAAATAAATATATTTATTTATTTTAGTGTAAACTAAAAGAGACAATGAAATTCAAAAATGCAATAACGCATACTGATAAGAGCTTGATACTGCTGGTAATGGATATGCTTGTGTTTCTATTTTACTCATGTGCAAACTTGCATGTTACACATGTATTCAAGGAAAGCATGGCATTGGGGAGTCTCTAATCTAGAGACAGTTGCATGTCCCAGTGCTTATTGAACTATGTAGCTACCAATTTAGAAATGCTGGTGTAGTCTTGCTTGCTTGGGAGAATTAGCAAGCACTGATGAATGTCAATATAAACACAGATCTCCAAATTCACAGTTATGCATGAATCTAGGGTGTTCCAGCACTCCAAAGCTCACCCTGGGTGTTCCATCAGTTTTCATGGCAAATTAATGAGTGGTGTTTGGCTCTGCATAAAAGGGAATTGTTATTCATAATGTAACGACATAGTGTACGGTATGCTGATGTTACTCCTTCCAAATGACATCTCTGACCTTTAGCTACTATGGCAACATGTGTCATTCCAGGGCACTCTCGGGACAAAATGTTGGCTCCCTCCCTTCTTCTCCCCCCCACCCTTCTATAGTGGCAAATATTCATAGAGGGGGAAAATATGCAAACTGGCCTTTTTCTAAGGGGTGAGGAGGTGAAAAAAAAATGGGGGAAATCAGATTTTTTTTCTAAGAAAAAAAAACTTCTTTGAAATTTCAGCTCCACTCCATTAGGGACACTTGTCTGTTGGAGATGTTACAGCCCTATTTCCATAGGTAGCATTTGGCATGCCATGGAATTCTACTGGAAATGGAAATTGGAGCAGAAATTGCTTCAATTTGCATGTTCGTCTGAGGTGCAGGACAAAAATCACACAAGCCAATATGCATGGTATTATTATTATTATTATTATTATTATTATTATTATTATTTTCAATCTGCAAACATTATGTAAATAATCTCATTGTTTTTTACATTGTTGTTGACGTTTCTCTTCTGTTGAAATGCACTGAAACTAATTATGTAAGCTGGTAGCAAGACACATAGTAAAGTGGAACCTCTGGATGCAAATGGGATCCGTTCCGGAGCCGCGTTCACTTCCTGAAGTGAATGCAACACGCGACTGCGTGTGTGTGGGTCATGTTTCGCCGCTTCCGCGCATGCGCGTGACGTCATTTTGAGTGTCTGCGCATGCATTACTTCTGGGTTGCGCTCCATTACTTCCAGGTCGCTGCAGAGCACAACCCGAAAATGCTTAACTTGAAGCGTATTCATCCCAAGGTATGACTGTATACATTGTAGCAGAAGCTGAACTGTAGTAGTAGAGAAACAGCGCTGAATGTGACAAAAACAGGAAGAGATGGAAATTGCTGCCTCCTTACATTCCTAGTAAGGATGACACCCCACACATTATGTGTGCCTGCTGCAGAATGCATATTTATTCATTCTGAAATAACTGACCTCATAATGTCCCATCAAATGGTGGGTTGTGCACTATGCAGTGCTTTAGTGCTCAAGCATGCGTTATGTGACCTGCATATGCAACTAGAAGAGAGATATGCTGGGGTCTTCCCCTCCCCACCAGATTTAACAAGATTCCAAGAAAGGCAAGAAATGAATTGGATACTTGAAGGTTAACCACTGTAGTTGCAGTGTGTGTGCTCACACTCACCCTTTTTTAAAATGGCAATTCAGAAATATTACCCCACTCAAAGCACCACAGAGCCAATAATTTACCTGGGGATGGGACCACAAAATTGGGGCTGCCACAAGTGAAACTACCAAACTATAAAGAGCCATTAGAATAACCAGTCTAATAGTCCTGCATAACTGTCTTCCCCAGAGATGATTGCAGCCCACCTTGGTTCATACTGTGCTGTATTCAGCTGGGAACACATGGAGTTACCCTAACAGAATCACTGCAGTTTTGAACGAACATGGGGGGGGGATACAATTTTTCAACCTGCTCATGCCCATGCCTGTTCAGAGTTGCAGCTCAATTTGACTCGGCTTGGGGGGGAGGGTCCATTCAGCAGCTACGGAACTAAAAGCCATTGGAGGTTTGGAAATCATATTCAAGGCAGTCAGGTTGCAAGGTGTTAACTTTACTGGCCATGCAAATCCCAGAATGAGAAATAGCTTCCATGCTTCTTTCCTAATGTGACTTCATTGCACCTGAAATTACATTGCAGAAATAGTATTTTGAACTCCCGTTTCCCAACGGAAAGCTTAGGTCAGGCAAAAGTAGCCTGGAGGGATACATTTGCCTGATTAAATCTGATATATTCTGAGTATCCTGCCTTGCTTTTAGCTTTTTCCTAGTCCATTTATTCTCGGCTAGTAATCAACCTCAGCAGCCACCTATTAGAATGATTACTGCTTTACAATATGTAATGTGTAATGCGTCGAGCTGACTGTTTCTTGCATGTGAAATATAAGAGGGGAAACAGAAAGATTTTGACTTTGTCATTTACTGTGTTCAATCACATCCAGGAAAATGCATTTTTCAGTGGGGGGAGAACTCCACCCCACAAACGTGAGCTGCTGGAGATTTGGGCCTACAAGACCAGTTGAACCAGGGATTTTATGGCTGCACACCACAGGCCAATCTTGATGTAACCTGAGTAGTGTCTGTTTCCCTGCCACTGCTTCGCCTGGCCAGGGCAAACGCGGTTGTCCTCTTATATACCTGCTGGGATTGACAAGGCATCTGATCCTCACCTGAAACTCATAACTCTCCTGACAGGTCATTTGGTCTGCAGCCACAGTGTGGAAATAAAGGATGAGATTGCCCACCAGATACCAGGCACTCTACTATTCAAATTAGGCCCCAGTATTTTTGTTACAATCCCCATCTCAATTAAGTAATCGATTTTAATCTAGAATTTAACTTCTCAAAACTTTCTTATTTGTTAATTCGAACAAGTAAACTACTGCTCTCACTTCATTACAAACAGTATTTCTACCTGCAACACACTTGAGCAAACCTGCTCCTCTTTCTTTCACATATATTTTGTTGCCATTTGCAACTGTAGCTGCCTCTGATTAGTTATCATTTAACTCTTTGGGGAAATAATTAGCATCACACGTCATGTGCATGGAAGTTGCCGAACCAATTAACCAACTAGAAGGATTACTGTTAATCACACCAGTTTTCCTATAACTTAATATTGCTGGATAGTTCTGATGAACTGCAAAAGCATTTTTAGTTTGCCTTCTGTTGCCACCCTGGAACTTTTCTTTATTGGTGCCACTTTGTTTTGTACGATTCCTTGCAAATGAAGGAAAACAACTTTTTTGCTTGTATGTGTTGATAATATAAGTTTGGTTACTGAGAACAAACAAGATTGTACAAAAACAAGATTGGGCACAGGCCTGACCAGGACATAGGCATCCTGACTGTGACAAAGGTGACCTGTGTGATTGCTTGCTTGATTAACAGCTGTTGGGAACTTCAAGATTCCTGCTCTCCTTTCTTATGGTCTTTGTACTGGACCTGGAGACTCCAATAGATAACATTCCATGTCAAGAAGGAGGGCAAATGGGCACCCTCTCAAATGACAGGGCAGGAGCTACATGGAGCAGGGCCTTTTCACTGGTGGTGCCCATTGTATGCCTTTCTCTCCCCAGACCTGTTCTCTTTTGGCCTGTATTTTGGAGCTTTATAATTTAGGAAGACTTTGGAAGAACTGGTTGACAAATCTTATCAGTCACTAACATATGAGCAGATTTTATTTGCTGCTATTCTGGGCTTCTGGTGCACCAGGGTTTACACCAGCGTAATAGAGTTAGCCAGGATGCCAGAAGGGATACAGATTTTGCAGACTTTGGTTGTGAACTGTGGCCCTACAAAAAAAAAAAGATTCAAGTTGCACCCCACTGCTTCAAATTGGGCCCCACTGGCTATCCTTGAGTCTCATAGTTGCTGGGCGTGAGTTGCCCTGCCCTTGCATGAAGTCTTGGGTTTGCAATTTTGGGAGAGGAGAGACTGTGGCACTGGGGAGTGGGAGGCTGCCGAGGCCCTTTAGATTTAGAAGCCTGAGTTTCCCTGCCCTCGCATGAAGTCTTGGGTTTGCAATTTTGGGAGAGGGGAGTCTTCGGCACTGGGGAGCGGGCAGGCTGGTGAGGCCCCCTAGATTTAGAGGCCCTAGGCATCAGCCTACTAAGCCTATACATAAATCTGGCACTGGTCCCTCCTCCCGAGATGAGAAAGAATTGGGAAAGAGGGAATGGTGACAAGGGATGAATTTGACCTGCTACAGTTGCAGTTAGGAGAAATGGTTTGATTCCTTGAGCAGAGCAGGATAAAAGGAACAAAGGTGATACAAGGCTATACAGTGGTACCTCGGGTTACAAACGTTTCGGGTTACAAACGCTTCAGGTTACAGACTCTGCTAACCTGGAAGTAGTACCTCGGGTTAAGAACTTTACTTCAGGATGAGAACAGAAATCGTGCGGTGGCAGCAGGAGGCCCCATTAGCTAAAGTGGTACCTCAGGTTAAGAACAGTTTCAGGTTAAGAACAGACCTCTGGAACGAATTAAGTTCTTAACCCGAGGTACCACTGTATTAGCAAAAGCTTTTGTGGGTCCTGCATTGGAGTTCTTGTTGTTGCAGGTCACATGGTATTCCCCCAGCCTTGAAAGGTTCACCAAAAAGGGGGAGTTCTTCTGATATGTGCTGTGAACTGCCCTGTGATCTTCGGATGAAGGGCAGTATTCAAATTAAATAAATAAATAAATAAATAAAAATATATAAACTGCAGCACAACTAAGGATCTCAGTGAGGATCTTGAACAAAGAGGACCATTTATATTTAATAAAGCAGTTGTTGCATGTTAAGTACCCATGGCCTGTAAATAAAGCATCTATTGAAGTCTAATTATCTTAAGAGGTGCATCTAGCTCTTTGTGTAATTAATTGCACATTACACATTCAAATCAATGCATTTGCTAGTGGTAGCTCAGCAGACTGGCGATGAGTATTCTACTTATCAATTAAGTGCCATTGCTGTATCAAATTAATTAGATATCAGCGAATGTGTGAAACAGCTATTCATGTCTTGGGCAATATCAAGTAAGTGACATTTCGGCAAGAGGTCTTTATGCTTGCAGCTGATCCAAATAGTGTGTTTTTTGAGGGCAATTTCACACAGACCCTCCCACAGTCCAACTTTCACACAAGTGCATTACTGTGCAGATGCCATTATAGCATGAGTATATGAGGCAGATATGAGGCTACAAGGTACCAGGAGCCCTGTTCAGGCATTGATTACCCATTGCAATTCAAATTGCACTAGGAAGAGTGGCAATGTGCTGGCTGGGCCCATCCCCTCCATTGCATCCTTGAACTCAGCTCTGATGCCCTCTGCACATTGGAGGGCAAACACCCTCAGTAGGAAGCATCCTGACAGAGGTTGTGACAGAGAGGGTGGGGCAAACCATTGTGCCCCCTGCTCTCTCACGTGATTCTAATCAGGGCCAGCCCAAGGCATTTTGTTGTCTGATGGTGCTAAGATTGGTGGAGATTGCTAAGATGTATAAGACTGAATCAGATAAGTGCTGGAGATGCAATGAGGTCGCGGGTACATTCTTTCATATGTGGTGGACCTGTAAAAGAGTAAAAGAGTTCTGCTGGATCTCTCAGCGGCCTTTGATACAATCGACCATAACATCCTTCTGGACCGTCTAGAGGGGCTGGGAGCTGGGGGCACTGTTATACAGTGGTTTCGCTCCTTCCTCCTGGGCCGTGTTCAGAAAGTGGTGGTGGGGGATGAGTGTTCAGACCCCTGGGCCCTCACTTGTGGGGTGCCTCAGGGTTCCGTCCTCTCCCCCATGCTTTTTAGCATCTATATGAAGCCGCTGGGAGAGATCATCAGGGGATTTGGACTGGGTGTCCATCAATATGCAGATGATACCCAGCTCTACCTCTCTTTCAAATCAGAACCAGTGAAGGCGGTGAAGGTCCTGTGTGAGTGCCTGGAGGCGGTTGGAGGATGGATGGCGGCTAATGGATTGAAGTTGAATCCTGACAAGACAGAAGTATTGTTTTTGGGGGACAGGGGGGCGGGCTGGTGTGGAGGACTCCCTGGTCCTGAATAGGGTAATTGTGCCCCTGAAGGACCAGGTGCGCAGCCTGGGAGTCATTTTGGACTCACAGCTGTCCATGGAGGCGCAGGTCAATTCTGTATCCAGGGCAGCTGTCTACCAACTCCACCTGGTACGCAGGCTGAGACTCTACCTGCCCACGGACTGTCTCGCCAGAGTGGTGCATGCTCTAGTTATCTCCCGCTTGGACTACTGCAATGCGCTCTACGTGGGGCTACCTTTGAAGGTGACTCGGAAACTACAACTAATCCAGAATGCGGCAGCTAGACTGGTGACTGGGGGCGGCCGCCGAGACCACATAACACCGGTCTTGAAAGACCTACATTGGCTCCCAGTACGTTTCCGAGCACAATTCAAAGTGCTGGTGTTGACCTTTAAAGCCCTAAATGGCCTCGGCCCAGTATACCTGAAGGAGCGTCTCCACCCCCATAGTTCTGCCCGGACGCTGAGGTCCAGCGCCGAGGGCCTTCTGGCGGTTCCCTCATTGCGAGAAGCAAAGCTACAGGGAACCAGGCAGAGGGCCTTCTCGGTAGTGGTGCCCGCCCTGTGGAACGCCCTCCCATCAGATATCAAAGCAATAAATAACTACCTGACATTTAGAAGACATCTTAAGGCAGCCCTGTTCAGGGAAGTTTTTAATCTGATATTTTACTGTATTTTTGGTTTCTATGGAAGCCGCCCAGAGTGGCTGGGGAAACCCAGCCAGATGGGCGGGGTACAAATAATAAATTATTATTATTAGTAGTAGTATAAAAGAATACTGGGAAATAATTTATAATGAACTGAAAAAAATGTTTTAAAGCACCTTTCCAAAAAGGAAAAAAGGGGAAAAAACCAGTCTTTTTTGTTGGGGATAATTCAGGTGGAAATTCCCAGGTGTCAAAAAAAGACTATTTATGTATGCCACTACAGTGACCCATGTTTTGTTAGCCCCAAAATGGAAAAAGAGTGAGGTGCCAACCAAAGAAGAATGGCAACTTAAACTGATGGAATATGCGCAGCTTGTAGATCTAACTTACAGAATACAAGAAGAACATTCGTTTAAAGAAGATTGGGAAATGTTTATTGAATATATGGGGGGAAATTGCGTACACTTGAAAACTTTGGTAGCATTAAGATAAATTCAACAGTGTAAGTTTTGATGGAAGTAATAATGGAATACTGAATGGTTTAGTTTATATAAAATATGCAGGGATTTATGCTATGCAAAATGAACCATGGAAAGAGAGGAAGGGGAGTCATTGATATTTTAAGGTTGTTTAAATGAATATTCTAAATTGTATATATATATATATATATATATATATATATATGGGACGTTTTAGATATATAGGGGACGTTAGTCCTCTGTCCTCAGAAGCTAGAGAAGGCACTTTTTTGACACTTGAGATGTATATTTTAAGGACACATCTAATTTTGCTAATTTTAATGTTGCGTTGAATTGCATTTAATGCTGTTTTTTAATTGTTGCAACCAAACCTGGAACCTTAGACTGCAGGGTGGGTAATTAGAAATAATTATAATTATAATAATGGCTAGGCACAGCTTGCTCCCCCAATCAAGGTGCATAGTCCCCAAGGCTGGCCAAGTTATTTCAGTACTGAGGTAGAAAAAAACCAAGCACCTTTTCCTGGAAGTAAAGACAGAATAATAATAAACAACAATGTGCCGCCTTTTTGTGACATTCAGAATCAGCTGCCCGAGGCAACTGCCTCACTCTGCCTAATTGTAAGACTGGCCCTTATTCTGACCATGTGGTGGGATTGAGTGCAAAACTGGGTTGTAGGAAACAGAAAAGAAACCGAAGTCTGGAACAGCTACAGTGAAGTCTTAAGGAGGCTCTTGAATGTAGTAACAGAAAAAGTGTGTTTGATATCAGGTACAAGGGCATCCCAGGGGCAGGGAGCTGCAAGTTGGAAAGGATGCAGGCGGAGAACAGAAAAGGTCATCTTAGGTTTAACTAGGGGATTGGTGCTTATTGTTGGGAAAACATTTTCAGCCCAATTGGAAACAGGGTACTGGATTTGATGGAGCATTGGTTCAGTCTAGAAAGTTCTAAGGTAGCATTTGTCCTGAAATGCTAGTATTGTGTGTGTAGGCAGTTTTTTCTTCAAGGGGAGGATTTCAAAGATTCAACCCATTATTGCCTGTTGTCTGAAATAATATAAACTAGATGCAGATAAATCACATACCCTCCAACATTTCTCCGATGAAAATAGGGACGGCCTATTCCATCATCGTTGTCATCATTGTTGTTGTTTTTATATTTATATCCCACCCACCTGACAGAGTTGCCCCAGCCACTTTAGGCAACTTCCAACATCTATAGAAACATAATCAAACATTAAACATTTTTTTAAAAACTTCTCTACACAGGGCTGCCTTCAGATGTCTTCTAAAGGTTGGTGTAGTGGTTAAGAGTCTCGTAATCTGGGGAACCGGGTTCGCGTCTCCGCTCCTCCACATGCAGCTGCTGGGTGACCTTGGGCCAGTCACACTTCTCTCAGAAGTCTTTCAGCCTCACTCACCTCACAGAGTGTTTGTTGTGGGGGAGGAAGGGAAAGGAGAATGTTAGCCGCTTTGAGACTCCTTGGGGTAGTGATAAAGCAGGATATTAAATCCAAACTCTTCTTCTTCATAATCTTTACTTATCTCCTTGGCTCGGGGATCATGTAACTCCAACATTTCTCCAACAAAAATAGGGACGTCCTACCATAACCGCCAACATTTCTCTGATGGAAATAGGGACATCCTAAGGAAAAGCAGGGCATTCTGGGATCAGATCAGAAACTGGGGTCCCTTCTGTAAATCTGCAACTGTCCCTGGGAAAGAGGGACACTTGGAGGGTCTGCAATCACAGTAGCTGACCTATTCATCTGCTTTAGCTCTGAAGCACAGACAAAGGGCAGTTGGCAAGCTGCAAGCAAAGCTCTAAATTAGTTCTTTTTTTATGCAACACAGATGCTAATTCTTTAGGTCCTGGGGTCAGGGCCTATGCAAAAAGAACGCTATGCAAATAATCCCACAAAACTCTCCAACAGTTTCTCAGGTGTGGGGCTCACCCTGAGTTGTGGCTGCTGTAGCACAACTTATTTCCCCCCCCCCTAAGGTTTCGTGGGGAGAGGCTGTTGCTATTACAAGTAGCGGAACTGGGTGCCATTCAAGCCTGGCCAAAATTTTGATTCCACAGTGCCCTAGGCCTAGCATGATTCTGAGTCTCTCTCTCTCTCTCTCTCTCTCTCTCTCTCTCTCTCTCTCTCTTGGTGGTGCCACAAATGATGGTTCCGAATATTTGGTTAAAAACCTGCAAAATTGCTTCTTTTTACTAAAGGTGTGAGGAGAAACCTCAGAAATTTTCTCAGGGGGGAAATGTCTTCTGTGAAATTTCACATCAGGATTTCTGAGAATTTCAGATTATCCCTTTGGACCACTGGTTGCCTCTCCTTACAAGAGAGAGTCATAGCCTGGAATTTCTCAAGGGGCTATGGCACATCTTTACTCAAGCATCCTTACCATGCTTCCCCCCTTTCTTTTGTTCCAGCAGTGTCCCCGCTGAGTTGTTCCTTTTCCTCATGAAGGTGTGGTAGGATGAGACCCCTGAAACGCATTTTCGCTGGTGACCTAATCAAGGCTTTGAACCCAAGTGTCCTAAGATGAAAGGCTATTGCACATATTTTTCATTTGAAAAGCCATTTGGAGAGCACATAGACCTTTTCCCCCTGAGAGGAGGTGTCAGATTGATGTACTGCAGCACAAAATGGGAGTGTAAATGTATGTGATGTTCATGGACTAGTGAATAGGGCTAGTTTACTATGAAATGAATTACTGGCAAAACAAATGGGTCAGCTCCTAAGCCAGACACTCTTTTTGCTTTTTGACTTTTCGAGGCACCGTTAACCAAAGGAAGGCTCCGAAAGGTGTTGATTCCCGACACTTTTCTAATGATCCTGTCATTTCGCTGAAAAATGTTTTAAGTGCTGCTGAAGATTTGTTCTCATTTTTATTTTAAATGGAACAAGGACAGAGAAAAGAGCTCGAGAGGAATGGCAGGCTCAGAAATGGCTTATTGCTATATTGTCATAATGGGAAGAATTCATTTGGTTAAGGGCTTTGGGGGTAATAAACGCAGCCTCTAAATTAAAGCAGCCTTCAGAGTTAATAGCCGCAAAGACTTACTCCGGTTCTTTCTGTCACAACTGTTAAAGTGCAAATAAGCATGGGGCTGGTTTATTGCGTGTGTGTTGCTAGCTCAGGACATGCCAGCTTCTTTCTAAATATGAAATGGTGCGGCTACCTGCATATTCTGAAGCAATAACCTCTCAAAAACTTAATTGATGGAAATACCCCTATGTAGTAGAAACCCACCACTGCCAGTATCCTATGACTGCTAGGATCTGCTGTGCCTTGAAGCAGCATCCCCAGACCCATCAGCATGACTGTGTCCCTTGTGGTGAACCACTTGAGGCTATCCACCTCCAGCTCAAATATCCCAGATAGCCTCCCGAAATGGCCACTCCATAAATATCTCTGAATATGGGGCAGATCACGGGTAGGCAAACTAAGGCCCAGGGGCCAGATCTGGCCCAATCTCCTTCTAAATCTGGCCCACGGACGGTTCGGGAATCAGTGTGTTTTTACATAAATAGAATGTGTCCTTTTATTTAAAATGCATCTCTGAGTTATTTGTGGGGCATAGGAATTCATTCATTTCCCCCCCCAATATAGTCCGGCCCCCCACAAGGTCTGAGGGACAGTGGACCTGGCCCCCTGCTAAAAAAGTTTGTTGACCCCTGGGATAGATTGTTGCTTGGGCATACTAGCTCAGGCCTTTGTCTCTCAATGTTTTCTTATATCCACCTCCAGCCAGCTTATCAGTTGCCTTTTTTTGCATCCAATTCCCTTTGGATTTGAATTTGACTCTGACCAGTGAATGATGTGACAGCCCTGCATTTTGTCTTGATGACCAAGTTCCCTGGGAGCTCCCTGAGGATGTTAGTCCCTCATCCTACACATTTGGCTCTGCCTTGGCTACCTATGGCCAGTGCCCTGGGGGTACTCAAGTGTATGCAGAACCGGCATCTTTTTTTTCTAGAAGAAAAGCACTGGTTAAAGGTGTGGCACTTACTGTAACAACTTCATGGTGAGTACCGGCAACATTTTTTCTAGAAGCACTGCCTATGTCTCATGACTAATATTGACCAGATCCCCTTGATTTCCAGAATCTCATCTGTTCACCAGTGGAGATGTATCAGGGATGCCTACTGCCTCGAGAAAATCCACTAGTATTTTCCGTGAATTTTTTAAAATATACACATATTGGTATGTGCTTGTGCCCAATGTAGACATTTTTGCTCAGGAATTTCCCATAATATAATGCATTTTTTAATATTAGTTTCACTAATATGTGCATTTTTATACTCACTTTACCAGTGTATGCATTTCTGTACCTATTACTGGGCTGAAGAACTGCACTGAAAATACAGAGGTATGAATTGGTTTCTGTTCTCGCATTGTTTCAGAAAGTGTAAATTCAGTGGGCTTGCCTTTAGACCTGAACTGAAGCAGAAAAGAGGTGTTTTCTTCCTTATGCAGTTCTTAGGAGGAAGGAACTTTGTGGAAGGCTTTTTCCTAATGGAAAGACTGTAGGTTCCCCAAACACCTTATCTTCCCTCTAAACTTTCAGATAGGCTGCACCTAGACACATCAAAGAGGCTGTTCAGTTAAACGAATTACAAACTTTGTATGAGAAATCGGGTTGGCAAAACCGGAACTCAACAATGCCATCTGGTGTCACAGTGTTAGAATGCATAAACAACACATATAAAGTACTTTTTCTTTGCCAATGTAGCTGAGTCCATAGTTGAGTGAGATAAAGTAGCTGGGGAGGCGAAGGCAGACAAACAGACAAGGTTTGTAGATGTGTAGGTACTGAGAACTAATACAGATGTCTTTATGGGTTGTATATATATCTTTCTTTATTCCTATCTCAGGGAATAATTTTATGTGAAGATATCTAGCAAAATCTTTTTTTATCGAACCCTTTCCAGGCTCACCATTATTCCAAACTTGCTTGTACATTTCCAACAGCTATACACACGAATGATTTTGGTCATTTTCCATATGAGCTCTCTTCTACTGTAGACACTTTCCCCTCAAGGTCTAGGAGGGAGCCGGTGAGGTGCAAGAAGCACAGAGTAGACTGCATTTAGAGCTAGACTGAACGATTGCTAGGGGATTGGGGTGGGGGGAGAGGAGAGATCTATCTGCCCAGTCCAATATTCACAAATTCACTTGTGGAATTGGAATGCTGCTCCCAGTCTGATTACGCACTTCTCTGGATTTTGCAGTGCACAGAAACTGAGGACAAAAATACGTGTCATATGTAAAAGATACACAAAAATGCATTTAAAAGTGTTGAAATGTGCATATTTTACATGCAAAGTCTGCAGGAAATGGATATAGTAGAATGGCACAAGACAGAATGGACCAACATTGGAGTGCCTATGAGACGGAAACATGCTGCAATTCACTATTCATCTCATCCTTAACTATTGCTTGTTGTAATGCTACCTGTTTAGGGTGAGGGAGAAAGTTGTGCGTTTTTATAATTATGTTTCTGAGTGTACCTGCAAAATGTCCATGTCGTTCACCTTGAAATATAGTAAAGGAAATGAACTTAAGCCTCCGTTAACCTACCCAACAGGGTTGTTGTGTGCAGGTCCACCCCGGGTGTCATGCCTGTGTGTGTGTGACAAAATCCACCCAGGCGGATCGGCGTGGCGGTCCTTGCACACCCAGCGGGCACATTTTCGTGATTGGCGCGATCTTCATTGTAAAAACCTACCCTCTGATTGCGCAAATATGCCTGGTGATCAGCTTGGTACACCCTGGCAGGCGGCGTTCACCCCCCCCCCAGCAAGTAGCGCTCACATCCCCGGCGGGTGGTTTTATGCGATTGGCAGTCGGTCGGATTTTCACGATTGGCGGTTGGCGCTGGCACCCTCTGGCACAGTTTTATGTGATTGTCGGTCAGATTTGCGCGACCTGCAGGCGTATCTTTTCTGTGGCCAACCCTCCCTAAAAAAAAGGGTGTACCCTAAAAAAAGGGGACGTGAGAAAAAAATGTCACAGTTGGTACCACCTGACCTTGCTACGCCTCTGGTTGTTAGGGCAACGCTTGAATTCTCTAGAGCTGCTTGTTAGGATGCAAACTGGATCAGCAACCAATCCCCTGTAGCATATAGGTGTGGGAACATGCAACTGTGTATTCCCCCACTTCCAGAAGTAGCCAATGGCCATTGAGGGGGTGAAACACAATGTGTTGACATTACATCATGTGTTTCCACAGCTACACTTTACAGCAAGAGGAGATACTTGCCACAGGGTTGCCTTTCCCATTCTTTTAAAGCAAGCCTTTCTATATCAGTACATCAAGTTCCACCTAAAGGCTTGCACATCTCTCTTAGGGTAGTGGAAAAGAAGCTGTAGCTTGCTGTTTTATTTTTAACCTTGTGTTGGTTTCACACTTTTTAATGTGGAGGGTTTGTTTCTGTATAAAGTTAACTATCATTATCATTATCATCTTCATCTTCATCTTCATCATCATCAGGGGCTATACTCCTGCTTGCTCTGTTCATCAATCACCTGTTCTATTATATAAACTAAGCTCACCTCCCCAACCCCATTTCTGAAGCCACTTCTATTTTCTATTCTGCGGCCCTGCTCTGCACTAACCTTCAACCTCCCATGCCCATGCTTCCCCTCCATGTCATTGTACCTGTTAGAATTCCTGCTCCATGACTGTAGTCATGGGATTGTTGTCTATCACATGATGGTGTATGTTTTGACTCCACAGAGTGGGAAGTGACCTTGCTTACCGTTGCTGAATTTTTCATTGAGCAAGCTCTGGTCAGCTTCCATGGAACCTCTGAGTCCCTAAGAGCAAAATTTGGAAGAAGATTATTGACAGCACAGCTGCTTTTAACTGGGCTAGAGGCAGTTGGCTTCTGGGTGGTCACATCTATAGGCCACAAGTAAATAGAAAATTTAAGCCAGGCACATAACAGCTGAATCACAATATTGCAAACCCACACTGATTAAGATATTTCTTTTGCTTTGTGGTTTAGCCGCATTTAAGGGGTCTGAGACATAGCTGTCAAGTGTCCCTTATTTGAAGGGACAGTCCCTTATTCCAGCACCATGTCCCGCTGTTGTCCCTTATTGATGGATGTCCCTTAAATGTCCCTTAAATGATGTCCCTTAAATTTCAAAGGAAGCAGCTCCTCTCCCTCCCTCCCTGCCAGCCAGGGAGGAGGGAGGCTCCAACTGTGTTGCTTGGCTGTGTTGCTCACCCAATAAGAAGTCTAAGAACGACTGGGGGGTGGAGCTTGCATGCCTTGTGTGTGGCTAGTTAATGCAAGCTGAGGAGCTTTTTGAATGCTGGATGCCATTTTGTTGCACGTGCTGCTGCAAACTTTGCAGTGCAAAGCCAGGCCGGGGAGCCATCTTAAGTTGAGGCTGCATAGGCCTTGTGGTACATGTGATTCAGATTCTATTCAGTTGAACCTCTGGTTACAAAGTTGGTTGGACAGTGTTCTCGAAGCTACCCAGCATGAGTTTGACCAGACTGCAGGAGGACAGGAAGACTGGAGTGCCTGGAACAGGTGAGGCTGCAGGTCCCTTATTTTGGCTGCTGGTCCCTTATTTTCAAGGCTGCTGGTCCCTTATTTTCAAATCTGTAAGTTGACAGCTATGGTCTGAGGTTGAATTTTAATCAATACAAAAGAAGGTGAGATCAAGGCACTGCACTGTGTGTGTGTATGTGTGTGTTTCGCAGAAGGCAGACTGTGACTGTGAAGAAATGTGTTGAGGAACATAATTCATCAGGAATAGAACCAAGAAGTTCTGGGATCTCCCTGTACTGTTTCTTTAGCCAAACTACAGCATATGGGTCAAAAACAGACCATTTTACCTCCACTAGGCCTGAAAAGGAAGCCGTTCCAGCCTTCTTCTTTTTTAAAAAATCCAAACAAACACACAACAATCTTAAAATCCTGCAATGATCCTTCCTGGTTTCCTCCTCTTCTTTTTTTTGGTGCCTCTGTATTTACTTGAAAACATTGCTCGTCTTTGAATATCTGGCTGTTTTTCTTTCCATGAAGGGTATGACTCATAATTGATGGCTTCATAACAAAAGTAGTTGTTTCCCAACTTGCTTCCAAATCCTTTAATATTGTTATTGAAACACAAACGCCTCGTGGGAAATCATCGTGGATGCTTTCCACGCACTCACCACTTCTCTGGTCTTTGGAGCTATTTTCTGTCGTTTGAAAGCGGGTCTCTAGCATTATCTTTAATGTGCCAGGTCTCCTGACATGACGAAAGTCGAAGTGTATTTCAGTGCTTCATTTATAGAAATGAGAAGAGCTGAGTGTAAAGTCTGCCTGAGAGCCACATTCCCTGGGTTTTCCTTCTCCATGACTTCTGAAGTGCAGCTCAGGGTGAATTCATGTGTTTGCCTAATTCATCAAATGCCTACCTATGTTCGAATCTGGGAGGTTTTTTTTGCTGACATGGCTTCTTCAGGTGTTGACATGGTTATTGTAGGTCCATTCCATGATCCAGAACAGGGTTCCAGATTTTCTGGGCTTAGCACGAAGCAGTCCACCACAGGCTTCCAGTAAGCAGACAGTGGTTGGAGGAACTCTGGGGGAAAAGAACACTAGGTTTTACGTTACAGTAAGCAAGCAAGAAACTCTAAAATAAACCTGCTCATCTAGTAAACATAAGAGTCCTGGAGTCCAGGTTCTTATTTCTAAGAGTCCTGGTCCTCTGCATGCAACATGTAAGTAGTAGTAGTAGTAGTAGTAGTAGTAGTAGTAGTAGTAATTTATTATTTATACCCTGCCCATCTGGATGGGTTTCCCCAGCCACTCTGGGTGGCTTCCAACAAAATATTAAAATACAATAATCTATTAAACATTAAAAGCTTCCCTAAACAGAGGAGGATCACTGTAAAGTGGAGACCTCCAGAGCCACACTCTTGGGTGGGTGGGTGGGCATAAATATTCAGTACCAGGCAGAGGGCCCTCTTGGTAGTGGTAACCACCCTGTGGAACGCCCTCCCACCAGATGTCAAAGAAATAAACAGCTATCTGACTTTTAGAAGATGTCTGAAGGCAGCCCTGTTTAGGGAAGTTTTTAATGTTTGATGTTTTATCGCTTTTATTGTTATTATTGTTGATATTCTGTTGGGAGTCGCCCAGAGTGGCTGGAGAAACCCAGCCAGAAGGGTGGGGTATAAATAATAATAATAATAGTAGTAGTAGTAGTACTGAACACCAGGGATGTGGAACTTACAACCCTCCAGAGGTTGCCGGACTACAACTCCCATCATCCCTAGCCATTGGCCAAATTGACGGGTCCTAACTGGAATTGGAGTCCAACAATACCTGGTTCACCATCCCTGCTTTAGAGGGAAGGGAGAAGAGGTAGCATTCTTCTTCCATGTCCCAGTATGGCAGTTCATTAGATCTATCTCCCCCCACCCCCATAAAATGAGAGAAGTATGAAAAGTGTATCAGATTATTTACACAGAAAGTGAGGAAAGGTTCCAATTTAAAATTTATACAAGGATTCGGATTTCTTGGCTTCATATCTCGTTTGCCACTCCAGCAAAAAAGAGACCGAGGGGGGGGGGAGAAGGTCACATATTTAAATCATTACAAATATATTCACTCCACATCTGATTGTAAAGTCGTCCACAGGAGTGGATTCTGTTGGCCAGTCTCCATTCCAAAATTGTACAAAGGGCTGAGCAGTTTCCTTGAAAGTGTCTATACAATTATTTCTTCCTTTCCCAACACACTTATTTATTTATTTATTTACAGGCCATCATCTTCTTGATAAAAAATGATACTCCACATGTCAGTCCTTTATTGACCAATAGATGGTAAGAGCCTCTTTCCACTCTTTGGCTAATAACATAAAGGCTGCAGTTCGCATATTTACAACACACAAAACATGCTCTTTCCTGTTGTCCTTTCATCCTTCCCAGTAAAATGGTTGAGGGATTCAATTGAATCATATATCGCACTATATCTCTGATACTGCTTCTGATGTCTGACCAATATTTTTTGACCTGAGGGCGTTCCTGCCAGATGTGAGCTAATATGCTTCTTCCTCTGTTAACTCTCCAGCATTTATTTGACAGATTTGAAGACATGCTTGCTATTCATACTGGTTTGTAATACTGTCTATACAATATTTTATAGAAATTCTCCATTGATGCAACATCTGCCAGATGTTTGTTTGTTTCGCACATACATATTTGCACTTGTCTTCCGTTATTGCAATATTCAATTATCTTTCCCAGTTTCATTTTACAGAGTCTTTTGGATTGGTTGGGTCCGACAGTATTTTGTATATTTTAGACAGCAGCCCTTTGTCTTTCTCTAGTATGATAGCTTTTCAGAAAGTGCTAATGCCTCTCTGCATTTATTTCTGAATGTAGAGTGATATCCAGCATTACTTATACTCATCCATTAAAATCACTGAACTTAAGTCATGAATTTCAATTGGTCTCTTCTGAATATATATTTATTATTTATTAAATTTTCATACTGCCCTTCATGCAAAGATCTCAGGGTGGTTCACATTATAAGAACATAGTACAAGATCATAAGAACAGCGTAAATCATATAATTAATAAATTACCAGTAAAACAGTTACAATGTTAGCAAACCAGCAACTAAGAAAACAAGCTAAAGATCGTAATTACAGCATAAATCGGGTCCTCCCTTAAAGAGGGCATGTGTTGCGGTGAGACCTGGCAACCAACCCCTGTGTTGTGGATGGGTAAGATTGGATAGCCACAACACCCAATTGGTAGGTCCCTTGATGCTGGGTTAAATCAGGCCAACGGGATGCAAGCTAAACGAATTGAGGGACCTATATATACCTATGCACGTGACCCAGAGCTTCCTCTTTCGGTGCATGCATCGGAACACCCGCCCACCTCTCCCTATATTTAGAGCTGTGCGCTTGACCTTGCTATGCCATCGTGTGTCGTCTGTCATTGGGGCAGGGGCACGGCAGGAATTTTCCCCACTTGGCTGATTGGCTGGTGCCATTTGGGTTTTGACTGCCACATAGCAAATCATCACAACTTATAAGGTTGCAGATAGGCTCTGGTTCAGGTGATGGGGATGGGAGGAACGCTCTCGCCATCCCTATGTTAGGGGTATTCTGTTAAAGGAATCCAGGGACTTGATGGTTTGGTCAACCCCTGTGAGGGGGTTGTGCCCGTGCCTGAGTTCAGGGGGGCATTTGGGTGGCAGAGATAGCCTGTTCCCGGCTTTCCACTTATCCAGGTGTTCACCCTAGGCTGACCTCTGCGGGTGCCCTGGGTCAGTGCTACCTGCAACGGTGCAGGGAGCTAGTCGAACCAGAGCCTATGCAACCAGTCACTTGCTGTGATCAATAAATCTGTGGCCTAAATTCTGCCAAAAACCAAACCAAAATTTGAGTCTTGTCTGAATTTATTTAAGGGGGAGGTTTAAAGGTCTGAACATGCAAGTCCTATTATATGATTAACAAACCAATAAGGAAATTATAATCTATAAAACAATATTAACAATATGGCAACAAAAAATATTATAAAACAAAAAAATACTATAAAACAATATTAACAATACGGCAACAAAAAAATAATAAGCTAAATGCTATTAAGTTCGTACACACACTCCCCTCTGTACACACTTCTGAATATGACCTACTTGGATATCAACAATCGTTCCTAATTTAAAGTACTGAAACAATGGTAGCTGAGCATTGGGATTTTGTGGTTTCAACTGATCATGTGATAAGATTATATTCCTAAAAAATAAAAACTTTGAACTTGGTAATGCTGCCTCTTGTTCAGTTATTGAAGTCTAATTCTTTGTTTTCTGAGCTCTAGCTCCATTTGTTACCGGTACTAACAAAGGGATATCTGACCTGTACATAACCCAAATCTTAGGTATTATTATTTTTGGATCCTTCTCAAATACACTGATCCTGAAAACTTCCCCATATCCATTCTGATAGTGGTATATCTACCTTTACTAGTTTTATGATTCAAGCTGGTGTACCCTGGTATATTAAAAAAGCCCCACTGAGCTAGTGCTATCAATGTCAAAACAGGATAAGACACTGTTATATTTGGTGTTTCTATCCCACCGTATTATAGGGTTGCTATGCTTCAAACAGTAAAAATCTGGACAGAAAAGTTGTTGAGCTTTCTTTGGCAAAGTTGTTGAGCTTTTTTACATTTTTGTGCTTTTTTGAACATTTGAACATCATTTGAACATTTCAAAACTTGACTTCCTTCCCCCTCTTTCTGCGTTTCCTTAATTTTTTAATATTTCTGCATATCCAAATTAACTTAATTTGCTCATTTATTCATCTACTTTAAATATATACTCTTATAAACACAGGTTATTGCAGTAATCTTGCCAATGTTCTTATCTGTTTACAGTTTGTTTGTAAATATTCAGTAAACCATTTCCATTATTTTATATTTTAAAAAGTTTGTTATCTTGATTTCTTATTTTTCTGGTAAGTTTCGCCATTTCTGCATATTCCATAAGTTTTTTGTATCCATTCTTTCTTCCATGGGAATTCTGCTTCTTTCCATTTTGGGGAGAATAACGTCCTTGCCGCTGTAGTAGCATACATGAATAAGTTTCTATACAGTTTAGGGAGTTGTGCTTTCTGAGCAAAATTGCAAAAAAACAATAATTGCATTTTTGAGCTATTTTTTATGGAAAATCAGCAAAAATAGCATGGGCTACCATACATCCGTATTTTCCTGGACATTTTTAACAATTTCCATCCAGACACTGCTGCCGACTGCAGTATTCCCTACATTAGTTCTTATTCACCAGGCCTTACAAATGCTTCCAAATCAGACCTGGCTTTTTGCTTGGTCAACAGCCAGACTTTGTATAGTACCGACATCTTGTTCTGCCTGACTGCTCTTCTGCCTCCTCCTTCTTCACATCCTTGCTCTGATACATGCTATGGTTATTTCTAGTTTGGACTACTGCAATGTACTCTACATGGGGCTACCTCTGAAGGTGACTCGGAAACTACAACTAATCCAGAATGCGGCAGCAAGACTGGTGACTGGGAGAGGCCACCAGGACCAAATAACACTGGTTCTGAATGACCTACACTTCTGGGGGACCACAGGTTCTCCAGCAGTGCACCAGAAAGTGAACATCCATGTCAATGTGTTGACATCTCCTTTTTTGTTTAGTGAGCTGGGGAGAGATGAACTTTGTCTCCGATTAAACTTTGAAGGGAACATACAAACCAGGCTTATATTAGAATGCTGGTATAAATGCCAGCCTGTTGTCTTTGTCCATGGAGACAGCATCTTAAAAAGGAGAGACATCACCTTGCCAACAAAGGTCCATATAGTTAAAGCTATGGTTTTCCCAGTAGTGATGTATGGAAGTGAGAGCTGGACCATAAAGAAGGCTGATCGCTGAAGAATTGATACTCTTGAATTATGGTCCTGGAGGAAACTCTTGAGAGTCCCATGGACTGCAAGGAGATCAAACCTATCCATTCTGAAGGAAATCAGCCCTGAGTGCTCACTGGAAGGACAGATCCTGAAGCTGAGGCTCCAATACTTTGGCCACCTCATGAGAAGAGAAGACTCCCTGGAAAAGACCCTGATGTTGGGAAAGATGGAGGGCACAAGGAGAAGGGGACAACAGAGGACGAGATGGTTGGACAGTGTTCTTGAAGCTACCAACATGAGTTTGACCAAACTGCGGGAGGCAGTGGAAGACAGGAGTGCCTGGCGTGCTCTGGTCCATGGGGTCACGAAGAGTCGGACACGACTAAAGGACTAAACGACAACAGCAATAAATGCCAGCAAAAAGCCGGTTGCAAAAAGCTCTGTTCTCTTTCCACGAGAAAACTAGCACAGCTCCCCACTTAATTGCTGTGTCCCTGATTCAGAGGGAAAGCTAGAAGTCATCTCGCAAGCAGAGGTGGATGATTCTGACACTGACCACAATGTTCATACCTAGAGGGAGAATATGCTTCAGTGGCGGAGAGGAGAACAACAGCAAAATTTATCTCTGTCACTCGCAATTAGAGAAGCTTGACTGAAAATCCTTGGACTGGGATGCTGCTTTATGTCCGGTCATCACACGTCATTTAACACATTATGTCCCAACTTTCCAACCTTAAAAGAAAATTCCAGGCACAATTCTGCTGGAGTTATGTAGGCTCAATGTTTTCAAGTGGAAAGTTCAGCAAATACATATATTTCGTGCAATGAAAACAATGGGACTGGAAATTGCTTCCCTTTAGCTAGATTGTGCCCAATTTTTAAATAAAAAAAGGTTAATCTTTAATATTGAGGACAATCAACATCCATGTTTCATGGACCAATGTGTTTTGCTGCAAAACCGAACTTATTCTGAATGGTTGAGCTCTATAATACAGTTGGGACCATCAAGCAAGAAGGGATGTACAGTTACAGAACACACACCCTGAATTATAATCTAAGTAACAACACCCTGCGATAATGAATTCAGATGGTGAATGCCACCCTCCCCAAAACATCAAAATTTGCAACCCTTCTCCAAGCAGCCCATCAAGAACTGATCATGTGCAGTGGTCAAAAAGAACTATGAAACATTTAGTAAGAAGCTGTATAGACACCATGCATTTAAAGCATGGACCTCAAGAATCCTAGGAACGGTAGTTTGTGAAGTGTGCTGATAGCGCTGCAAGGAATAAATTACAGTTCCCAGGATTCTTTGGGCGTCATATAACCAACATGCTTACTTCTATTTAATGCATGAAGGGGTTAAGACCATAGAGTAAGTTGTCCTGCCAGGTGTAGCTAAGTCACACACCCTCACCGTGGGAGGAACGGTTTCCAAACTCTTTGTTCTCCCACTTTCCCACCATGTGAACCAACCAGTAAGGCTGTCTGTGTTGGTTGCTCCAAGCCCAGACCGCATGGTTTTAGCAAGCCATCTTGGTGTTTTTATGCAAATAATTTAGAAACTCTTACCATTTTTGAAACTAAGTTATACTGCCTGTCTTTTTGGCTACTGTATGGAAAAGCACACCAATCTGACCTTTGAAGAGTTCTTCTCTTTCCACGCTAAGCCAAGTGGAAAACTTTGGAAGAAACTTAGAAGGGAATATTTTAAAGCCCTATCAGTCTATATTCCCATGCTTTACTTTGCTGCATGTTTTGTAATTTTAAATCTCTGGTGGGTCTCTCTCAACAAAAAAGTACTTGCCCCAAATGTGAATCAAGTCATCCAGGGAATTCTGCTTTTATTCTTTAACTAAAACTACTAAAAACCAACAAAATGGCCCCACAAGGACTATTGCCCTCTAACTTCCAGAATTGATGGGAAGTCAAGGGGGCTAGATGGCGGGGAGAGAACGGTGGAGTTGGCCTGCTAGAGCTTTTAATGCAGGAGTGGGGGACCTTTTTTCTATGAAGGATTACTTATTCATGGGAAACATCAATTTCACTGTAGCTTATTTAACATTTAGTAAGGCCACTGGGTGCTGGATCTGCCTTGCTCCGTTGATGCCGCATGTTAGCATGCAAACTACTTTTGACCTGTGCACCTAGTTTCTTCTCAGAGCAACCCTGTGAAGCAGAAAGAGCAGTGCTTCCCACCCCCAAAAAATGTTTAGGGGTACTCTCATTTTCCTACTCATATTGAAATATTGCCCCTCAATGAGGCCAAACTTAGATTCACAAAATGTTTAGGGGTATGCGTCCCCCTGCATCCCCCCAGAAAAAAGCACTGAGTAAGAGCATTGGGACAGGTGGGAAATGGATGTTTGGAGCCAATGCAGACCCTAAACAATTTTTCCAATACTTGCAGATGTGTAGATGCTGCTTCTCTTATGGATCCAGCTAATGCAAAGCGGGGAGGAAAACAGCATGTTTACATCTTACCCCATCACCACGACCTTCCTCTGTGTGGAGTGACACTGGCATTTGGTGGAAGTGAATTATCAGCAGCTCCCTTGTGATCTCCCCCAATCTAACAGGACAGGAGCGATGTGGGTCAGAGCCAGGTGGGAAAAACAATCACACCACTCCTATAAAGTAAAAATGTACCTGAAGGAGTGTCTCCACCCTGTTCATTCAGCCTGGACACTGAGGTCCAGCTCTGAGGGTCTTCTGGCAGTTCCCTCAATGTGAAAAGTGAGGTTACAGGGAACCAGGCAGAGGGCCTTCTCAGTAGTGGCACCTTCCCTGTGGAACACCCTCCCATCAGATGTCAAGGAAATAAACAACTATCTGACTTTTAGAAGACACCTGAAGGCAACCCTGTATTGGAAAAAATTTAAATGTCTAATGTTTTACAATTTTTTATGTGCTGTAAGCCACCCAGAGTGGCTGGGGAAACCCAGTCAGATGCATAGGGTATAAATAATAAAATTATTATTAGATCTCAGCTCCATGCATTTTCTCTTGGGGGTGAAAAGGGTGCATCTCCCTACTTCTGCACACCCCATTTTTGCTTTTAAAAAGCTTCCTGTCCCTTCCCCCATCTGATTGCCTGCTATTGTATCTAATCCAGCTCTCAATCCTGCCATTTTTAAATGGTTTTAAGGTGCTCCTGACATCTTTATGTTCAGGTTTTAGTGAGTTCCCATCTGTATGATTCTTGGCTCGCATCGCAGGGTCAAGTCCCAGGCGCCTGCCGTATTTCATGGGCTTTGCAGGTGCTGCCATGCTGGTGGAAACTAGAAACGCCAGCCTTCCCTGGGAAAACCTTTCGAAACAAACCTCGAATGTTTTCATTCTTTCCCACCTGCCAAGATGTTTCCGTTCGGGTTGCAGCCAGAAAAACCATTACAGATGAAGATTAGATTAAAAGAAATAGATTTAGAGGCTAACAGGATGCCTTCCTTGGAGAGATCTCGATATTATGCTGTATATATAAAGATTTATGCCTAGTATTTATGTGTGTGTGTGTTTTGCCCATATGGATAGTAAACACTGAAACAGGATGCAGTTTGCGGGAAGGGGAGGCAAAAGGGTATCAGTGAGGGTGGAGAACATCTGGTTTGAGGTGTGTGCGTGTCGAGGGGAATGGGAAGGAGCGGGCACAGAGCTCGAGGGCGCAACCACTTCATTTCTCGCATAGACTCCCTTCAAGTGCGTCAAATGTCTGCATGTAAAGGCTGTCTCTGCAGACACCGAGAACCGTCTGTGCCATTGTTAGATTTCCAGGCTTGTCTACAGATCCGTGAATGAAATGAAGCTGTACTTGTACGGTTCCCATTAGAGATGATGAATAGTTCTCTTTCTTTTCGTTTGAGTGGGTGTTGTGGGGAAGCTTGACTGGTTATTATGGACTGTTTCCATGCATGCGCTGAACCACCCCAGCTAAGGAAGGTACAAATTTGATAGCAAAGTCTTCATTGACAAAAGAAGCACTTGCAGCAACTCCTGCGTTACTTTGCATGCCCCCCCACAAGTGTTCCTATTTTCCAGAGAAGTCCCTGATGTAGAGAAACTGTCCCAGTTTCTGATTTGATCCCGGAATGTCCCACTATTTCTTAGGATGTCCCTATTTTCATTAAGAGGGACGTGGGTGGCGCTGTGCGTTAAACCACAGAGCCTAGGACTTGCCAATCAGAAAGCTGGCAGTTTGAATCCCTGCGACGGGGTGAGCTCCCATTGCTCGGTCCCTGCTCCTGCCAACCTAGCAGTTCGAAAGCACGTCAAAGTGCAAGCAGATAAATAGGTACCGCTCCGGTGGGAAGGTAAATGGCGTTTCCGTGTGCTGCTCTGGTTTGCCAGAAGCGGCTTAGTCATGCTGGCCACATGACCTGGAAGCTGTACGCCGGCTCCCTCAGCCAATAAAGTGAGATGAGCGCCACAACCCCAGAGTTGGCCACGACTGAATCTAATGGTCAGGGGTCCCTTTACCTTTACCTTGTTTTCATTGGAGAAATGCTTTGTGCTGGTCCAGGGGGGAGGTTACTGTGGGTCCAGGACCTGAGTTGAGGGTTGGCAGACAGTCCTCCACGGGCGAAGCAGGGTCCTTAGCGAGGAGCCGGGCAAGGACAGGAACTCTGGGGGAACCGGACTGGGTGCTGGCCGAAACAGCTCTTCAACAACGTTGCTCCCGCAACCTGGGACCGGGCTGACTGGCCTTTATCTTCTCCGAGGCCAGGGGCGGTCCCGGCCCCCAGGAGACCCGCCTCTCCTGGCCTTAAGGCGAGCACTCCTCCTGGGAGAAACCAGTTCCCTCCGCCTCTCTGCCCTAAGCCTCTGCAGTTCAGGAGAGGCTGAAGGGTTACTGGACCCAGGGGGAGACTCACCTGTAGGCACTGAGTCCTCAACCACCTCCGGAGCCAGAGTGGATTCACCTGGTGCCTGCTCCTGAGGATCCGGCACAGGTGTAGGCGCTTCAGAATCAAGGCCCTGTCCCAGTTCAGCCGGCCCTGGAGGCGGGGACTCCTGTGCAGGCTGGGATTCCTCCGGTTCAGCCTCTGAATCGGATTCCCAGGCCATCACATGCTTGAGGGTATGGAGTTACCTGACCCCCAAGCCATCTGAAGGCAATCCTGTACAGGGAAGGTGTGTGTGTACACACACACACACACACACACACACACAGTGGTACCTCGGGTTAAGTACTTAATTCGTTCCGGAGGTCTGTTCTTAACCTGAAACTGTTCTTAACCTGAAGCACCACTTTAGCTAATGGGGCCTCCTGCTGCTGCTGCGTCGCCAGAGCACAATTTCTGTTCTTATCCTGAAGCAAAGTTCTTAACCTGAGGTACTATTTCTGGGTTAGTGGAGTCTGTAACCTGAAGCGTATGTAACCTGAAGCGTATGTAACCCACATTTTTATATATGTTGAAGCTGCCCAGAGTGGCTGAGGCAAGCCAGTACGATGTGTGGGGTATGAATAGTAAAATTGTCATTATGGAATGGGACGTCCCTATTTCCATGGAAATATTGGAGGGTATGCACTTTTAGGCACTAGGCAGCTGTCCCTTAGTCCTCCACCCTGTGGAGTACATGCAGCAACAGGGAGACCTCCCCTCTCTGCCGGCTTATGTACCTTATATACCTTCCCCCACAAGCTGAGACTTCTCCTGCACAAAAGTCGACACTGCTCTTCACGTTTCAAGCCCCTCCTGGTTCTAGGGGAAAGTGGGGAAGCTACGGACCCATTCCTCACCTGAGCCATCCCTTCTTCCTCTGCCACATCCTGCGTGCCTCCCTCTGCCTCGGACTGCCTCAACTCTACCTCCCTCCCCCACCTTTGAAGGCAGTGCCAAACCCCATCAATTACTGGTCCCCTATCCTGGGTCACTCCCCAGTCTCCTGCCTCCACTGCACACTCTCAGGAGCCCTGTCATCAACTTGTGGGCAAGAGTGGGTACCAGTTTCTCTTCTCTGCCCCTTCCCTATCATGCCACTCAGCTATGGTGGCTAAATAGTGAGAATCACCCACCTCAAGTCTATGTAATATATCCTAGCCTAACCTACCTCAATGCATTGTTCTGAGGATAAATTGGGGAAAGGGAGCACACATCATGTATACCACTTTCTTGGGGGGGGGGGGGGAGATAGGATTAGGGATGAATGGACCAGTTTATTTCAAGCCTGTGTCAGTTTTGCATGAATTCATTCATAAATCGATTCTACCATGTTTCTGTATTAACCAGGTAATATGTTAACTTGAAAAACCTACATGAAAATTCACATTGAACTTCCTATTTAATCGCAATGTATGCATTTCTTAATGTATTTTATCCTAATATACACACTTCTAATGCATTTTGGCATTAATATATATATATATTTAAGCTGAATACAGTTTTGTAAAATTCAAAGAAACGCAATATCTGAATGATAGTTATGTCCCAGACCAAGAGGTATGAATTTGAGCAGTTTGCTTATCCTCTAACCCTAGCTGGAATGTAAATGTAATAAAATAAAGACATGTGAGATACTGTCCCTGTTTGCCCCCAGTACTATATATTCTTGCTCCGGAGAGATTATCGTTGAACTTAAAAGTACATACTTCTGAGTAAACATGCATAGGATTATGCTGCAAGGGACAGAAAGGAAGATTACAACATTAATTGTGTAAAGAGATTAATGTGGGTGTGTATATCAAGAAAAAGGAAAGAGAATGAAATGTGTACACAAATGTCTGTGTGTGCAAAGAGAAAAAGGAATTAAGGGATAAGTGAGGAAGCTGGTATGGAGGGGAATGACTGCATAAAGGGGAAGGGGAATCTGAATTTGAATGCGCCAAGCACCAAACACATTCATTTTTGCACAGGCTCATTTGTTGATTTCTGCAACCCTTTACTGGCCGAAGGAATGAACTTTAATGCCCGATCTTCAGCGCACATGCATGTGAAATAATGGCAGCATCATGGGGCAGTGTTTTGTATCTGCTTCATCCTTTCCTTGCTCAACACCATTCTCGCTCACTGTTTGATGGTCAGTTCTGCTTCCTACAAGTCAACTTAGCCATTTTCTCTCAAGTGGGTGCTGTTTGGCAAGTAAAAGTGACCTGGGGTTGGAGGGGAAGGGGAGAGACATGGAGAAGGAAATAATAAAGGGAACGGTTTACTGATTTCCATTCGCTGTGTGTTGTACAGAGAGCTGGAAGGAAGGAAGGAAACACAGGGAGGGAGTGACTAGGAATAGGTTGGAAAGCACAGCCTGGGGCAATTAGAGGCAAGTTCCCTCATTGCTATAGCCCTTCTTACAGTCCTTTGCCACATTTCAGGAGTATTACTAGCTGTGAAGGCCACTTCTCTTGTAGTAAAGCAGCAGGTTTTGCTGGTGAGAGTGGCCGGTAGCATCACCAATTCTAAGGGTCACCATCATAGCTGTCAACTTACAGATTTGAAAATAAGGGACCAGCAGCCTCAAAAATAAGGGATCAGCAGCCAAAATAAGGGATCAGTTTGCATTAACTAGCCACACACACACAGCCTCCCCCCCTCGCCACGAGATCGCCACCCGCCATTTTAGTTAACCAGCTCCTTTCCTTTCCCCCATAACAGGCAATCGAAGGAGCCTCCAAAACAAATCCAAAAGCCCCCCCTCCCACGAGATCGCCTTTCCTTTCCCTCCACCATGTGCCCCTGCTCCAGATAAACCTTTTCCCCAGCAAGGGTGAGTGGGCCGTCAATGACGTATCCATCCGATTCCGAGCACAGGCATGTTTAACTTCTGAGCCCCTCCGAGCCAAAGGCAGAAAGCCCAGCCAGCAGCCAAACGAAGCCTCAAGCGGTGGTTCCCACAGCGCAGCAACCCGGCAAAGGGGATGCAGCAAGGAAAACCACCGTCACCTCTACGCTGGGAAGCGCTGAGCAAAAGCGAGTCCCCAGGCAACGCAGCCGGGCACAAGGTATGCAAGCTCCACCCCCCAGTCGTTCTTAGACTCCTTATTGGGTGAGCAACACAGCCAAGCAACACAGTTGGAGCCTCCCTCCTCCCTGGCCGGCAGGGAGGGAGGGAGAGGAGCTGCTTCCTTTGAAACCTGGGAAATTTACGGGACATCATCAACCCGGGACAGCAGTGGGAAACGGCTCTGGGATAAGGGAGTTTCCCGCCAAATAAGGGACGGTTGACAGCTATGATCACCATCCACTCTATTTATTCATTTGGACCTTTATCCTGTGCAACTTTTTATTCTAGAGACACCATACACATGTGCACACCCAACAGAGAGAGGACAGCGGGGGTGAAGGGCCAGCCCACCTATGAGGCAAGGTGAGGTAACTGCCTCAGGCAGCGTGATTCACTGGGGCAGCAGATTCCAAGGTCAAGCTTCCTTCACCGCCTTGTTCCCGATTCATTCATGTTCATTTATTATATTTCTATGCCGCTTTTCACTCACATGAGTGACATGTAGCTCTTCCCTCACCCCTTCTTCCCTGGTCCACCTCAGGTGCTAAAATGTCTTGGGCCAGCCCGTCCATGTTCTTTCTAAAAACGTAAGAGCATCAAGAAGAGTCATGCTGGATCCAGCTAGTAGCCCATCTAGTCCAGCTTCCTGTTCGCACAGTGGTCAACCAGATGTGTGTGGGGAGCCCACAAGCAGGACCTAGGCCCAAGAATGCTCCCCCCTTCTCTGGTTTCCAGAAACTGGCATTCAGATGCATACAGTCTCCAACAGTGGAGGTAGAACATAGCAATCAGGCTGAGTAGCCACTGGCTATGCAAAGAACACCTTGAAATAATTATAAATCTCCACTAAAGGTAAGAGTGAATTTCATCCGGGGGGGGGGGGAAGCAATAATTACCGGTATTTCTCTTTTCAAAGCATTATAACAGAGAGGACCTTGGAAGGTATCGCTGAAACAAAAAAAAAAAAGATGCAAAAAAAAATCCCCTCTGCCAATTTTCACAGCATTCATCCTGTGGACTTCATTTTTTAATTGTTTTCCTGTGTTTGTTTATTAGTTTTGGAATTAAACTCTGCCATGGCGACATCTCAACTCAGTTGCTCCCTCTGCCTATGGGGCTCATGGAAATTTTGGCAGAAGTCTGTTAACATCTGTTCCTTTTATTTGGCTGTAAAGAAAGAAAGTTGGAGGAGGGGAGACAGACTGCTGTTGAGGGACTCACTTTGGAGAACAATTTCACTTTGTCATGCAGCAATTATTTGTTATGAGTTTTGAATACTTTCCTGATTGAATAAGGTTTTATTTGTGTTTCTATATTTAATAGAGAGAGAAAGAGAGAGAAGAGAAGAGAAAGATAGAGGAATTACTCTGGGAGTCAGTTCTGTAAGATGATAGGAGGGAAAGATCAGCTGAATGCCTTAATTGCAATTCTTTACAGTGCTAAGTCCAACCTTACCCATTAGGGATGCTCTGCGCACCACATGCCATTATTCTGCACCGTCTCCTGAGCATGATCCAGTGTTGCCACTGCCCCTTCCTCCTTACTTTTAAAAAGAGCACTCTGAAGCACCAACTCGTCTCAGAGCATTCACTGCCCCCTTTCTCATTACTTACCCAGCATGCTACAGATATCGCCTCTGGTAGACCGGCACTTTCAATCTTCTTGGCTACTGTCAGGTCCAGGGGATGAAGAAAAACAAGTTGTTGCTGCTGCTAGGCAACTGCAGAGCCCACAGCATCCAGCAACTTCCCATTGTTGATGATTGGAGGATGAGTCCTGAGGTTGCCTAGCAACAGCAATATGCTTCCCCCTGCTCAGGCAGGGCAAGGTGGCCATTGTGCAGAGAAAGAGCAGCAATCTCTTTGTAGGATCAATCGAGTCAAGAAATGCCAGTTGCTCTAGTTTCTATTATATGTATCTATTGTGGCCTTAGTCATGGTGCCTAAGTTCAGAAATTGGGGGGGGGCATCATAAAGTTTGAGGTCGAAGTTTGCTTCTCAACTAATTATGAGCAAAGACCAAACCCCAAGGAAGTTCAAGCGTAACTTATAATCAACTGGTGGATACCACAACCCCCTTCCATTTCCGCTTGGCAATGGCAGCAGTCTAGACACCGAGGATTCTGGGAGATGTTGTTTTCTGGGTACCTGATGGCCATATTGAGGATTCATGTCCCTTGTGTCTCCGTATTTCCTTACACCCTGGGGCATTGCTGTTGTAGCAACATTCCAAACATCAGGGAAGGAGGGAAGAATGGAAGAATGGAAGTCTCTCTGATACTGCTATTCCTGCCACTGCTAGGTAAGTTTTGGGAAAGGGAAGGGAGCAACAACAGGGCAGGGGACCACAGCCAGCTAGAAGGGGCATTTGGAAACCACTTGGTTGGATACTTGCATTGACAACGAAACTCACAAAAATGATGGAGCATGAGATAATAAAACGACAGTCTCATCATTGTAAGTGCAACAGTATCCACATTTTAGAACTGGGCTTGGGGGCTTGTTTTCGAATTTTGGTGGGGAATAATTCATTTTAACAAAGTCAAGATGGAAGAACTTTGGCCATTGCCAGTACATGATGAACACCAGATTCTGGGGTGAGGAAGCTCAGATTTAGGGGTCAAATGCAGCCCTCTGAAACTCTCTTTCCTCTGGACTCTCCTCAGCCACACCTCTGTCAGCAGCAGGTTAGCAAGAACTCACATGGCATCAGTGAAGTTAATTCTTTATTCGAAGAAACAAGACAGCTCAGGCGGCCAGTCCTAGTGAGCACAGCAACTCTTCCTGGCAGAACTTAGAACAGCAATAGGGCACATCTGAGAGGTGCCGGGAATGAGTTCTTGTGAGCTCCAGCTGAAAAAAATCCCCTATGGATAGCAGTAAAAACAACGTCATATAAGCACCCTTTGGGTCATTCTCTGTGTTCCCATTGGACCAAGTTCAGTGCCCTGGCTTGTACTTCTTCCTGGTTGGATGACATTGTGTATGGTTGTGACATTATACAGCCAATTGGATTTGACTGTTTGACACCACTGAGAGGCCAAGGAAGAGTGATTTAGCTAGGGTTGCCATATTTCAAACAGTGAAAATCCAGACAACTTTTTGGCCAAAGTTATTGACCTGGGCTGCTATACATCCAGTTTTTCCCAGACGTTTAACAGATTTCTACCCGGACACTGCTGTCAACCTGGACATATGGCAACCCTAAATTTAGAAATGATGATGATGACGATGGTGATAACGTTTTAGCCAGGAATGCAAAAAAGAATCCTCAAAAGGGGGAAAACTGTTCAGCATAAACAAAAATGTTTGCAAAAACAAATAAATCCTATTAGTAACTTTGACCCAACTCTAATTAGGACCAGCCAATGTGGCATGTAAATTTTCAAGTCATGCAGAACTTGTCCTCAGACTAGATTGTTGCTAGAATTTGAATTTCAAGTGAGTAAAAGCTAAACAAAAACAGCTCTCAGAAGTGGGAAGCTGCAGAAACAGGAGTTAAAATGAAAGAGGCTTATGTTCCTTCTACCACATTTTTCCATTTTGAAACACACACACCTATAGAAGTACATTAACCTGGAAATTCTCTCAGGGCCTGATGAAAAGTTGAATTCCTGAACACCGGCAGAGTGATCATTTGTTCATAAATGCCAACAATGGCAATGCTGGTATGTTCTGAAACAAAAGAGTTGAGGTCTACTGTAACAATGCAATACATACCCCTTCCTAAAGGACATGTCCTCCCTGTCATTTTCCTCATACACAAAACAAGAATTTTCTTCAACAGGACCTTTCACTTTACAACAAGAAACTGTCCCAGCAAAATAAGAAATACTCTGCATTCTCAGCCACTATTACTGTTGTTGATTATTGTTGTTCTCATTTCTGTCTCTCCCTTTGTGGTGAATAGTCTCATGTCATTTCACCCAGTCAAATCAGGACCGCAATGCCTCAAGGACCGTCACTTCCCATATGAACCTACCTGGACCCTGAGATCATCTTCTGAGGCCCTCCTTCATGTGTCTCCTCCTCGAGAGGTCCGGAGGGTGGCAACACAAGAACAGGGCCTTCTCTGCAGTGGCTCCTTGTCTGTGGAATGCTCTCCCCAGGGAAGTTCGCCTGGTGCCTTCATTATACATCTTTAGGGGCCAAGCAAAAATGTTCCTTTTTATCCAGGCCTTTGGTTGATCTTATTGACAACCAACACCCTTTTAGAATTTTTTTTTTGGGGGGGGTTATTGGGTTACTGCTTTTGGTTTGATTTTATATGTCGTGGTCTTATTGTGAACCGTCCTGAGACCTCCGGGTATAGGGCAGTGTATAAGTCAAATAATAAATCAATAAATCAATATTAAAATAACAACAAGTGGACTGAAAATCTTTTATTGGTACAAACCGGCAGCCATAATTAAAAAATCACAACAAGAATTTAAATGGTTGTGAGAAACTACGAGCGTTGAACATTTTTGTGTGCTTTCAAGCGACACACAGCGGCTGATGTGTGGGTCTTTTTGGACCTGAAAGAGAGTAGGCTGAGGGTGTAATTGGAGGTATAATGTGGTGTAATGACTAAGCTGCTTCTGGAGAACCAGAACGGTGCACGGAAACGCCGTTTACCTTCCTGCCAGAGTGGTACCTATTTATCTACTCGCACCGGTGTGCTTTCAAACTGCTAGGTTGGCAGGAGCAGGGACTGAGCAACGGGAGCTCACCCCGTCACGGGGATTCGAACCGCCAACCTTCTGATCTACAAGTCCTGGGCTCTGTGGTTTAACCCACAGCACCACCGGCATCCCCACAGCCCATGACACAGTTTCCCCCAAAGTCCAGGAAAACACACATTGCAAAGCCCTAGGGCAAACTTTTGTTAGAGAAAAGTTGCTCTGGGAGTGGTGGAAGGGAAGGGCTTAACCCTTTCCCAGCACATTGCTTTTCTACTGCAGCAAAGGAAGGAGGCAAAAATGAATTTTGTTTGCATTTCATTGCGCAATGCAAACGTTGCGCTTTTCAAAACAGTATGTGATCTGAAACCCAGCCATCCTTTAAAATTTGCACCGCTCCTAATTTTGTGATGCAGTTCTCCAACCAAACAGAAAGTACAAAAAATGTTTGTATTTTGGGGAAATATGCATGAAGTCGCATTAAAATAGCATACAAAATGCATTATATCAGGGAAAATGGCTTGCATAAATTAGTCAAAACTGCATACAAAATGTATTTTATTAGGAGACATTTGTACTAAAATGTTGGTGGATTTTCACGAGAACAGGGGGGGAAATGCAGGTTGCTGTGTAAATGTGGAAAACCGAATTTAAGATTGGAAAAATCAGAAACCGAGAGAACTGAGCTGGCAGATTCATCCGTCTCTATCTGCAGCTCCCCTCCTTGGTTTTCTCCCTACAAGTTTCCAGAAGGACTTTTCTGTTTCTGAGGATAGACATATGTCTAGAGCAACTGGTGATGAAACGGTTAAGCACACACACACACACACACACACACACACACACACACACACACAAACACCCTGCTGCTTCTCTGCTTGAAACTGTTCCCCAGTGAGTGGCACCTGAACTGATTAAGAAAATATCTGAGCGCCAGGTGAGCTGCCCGGCAGGAGGGCTTGCAAATTTATTCTGGGTTCTGTTTGAGAAAGGCAACGTGGATTCCTCTTGTCTCCCTTTTCATGGTGAGCTCCGCGAAGCTATCCCTGGAAGGGGAACCAATATGCTGCTTCCATCATTGGGCTACGGGGCTGCCAGTCCAAACTCTGAGAAGCTCCTATACCTTTAAGAGCTGCTATTAAGTGCTATTTTCCCCATCACAGATATGCCCTGAGACACTGCTGCAACCATATAGCTTGCCATTTTGGTTCCTAGCCCCCATCTGAGGTGATGGGAGGTGCCGTATTTGATTTGTGATATCTCCTTCATATATGCAGGTCCCCCATGATGTGTGTACAGTGGTACCTCGGGTTACAAACGCTTCAGGTTACATATGCTTCAGGTTACAGACTCCGCTAACCCAGAAATAGTGCTTCAGGTTAAGAACTTTGCTTCAGGATGAGAACAGTAATCGTGCTCCAGCGGCGCAGCAGCAGCGGAAGGCCCCATTAGCTAAAGTGGTGCTTCAGGTTACGAACAGTTTCAGGTTAAGAACGGACCTCCGGAACAAATTAAATACTTAACCTGAGGTACCACTGTATATGTGGGAACCTGTACTATGTTGATGTAGATCATAGGATGGGTGGGTGCCTCTTTTTACCCAGTGTGGTGTAGTGGTTAAGAGTGGTAGACTCGTAATCTGGGGAACCAGGTTCGCATCTCCGCTCCTCCACATGCAGCTGCTGGGTGACCTTGGGCCAGTCACACTTCTTTGAAGTCTCTCAGCCTCACTCACCTCACAGAGTGTTTGTTGTGGGGGAGGAAGGAAAAGGAGAATGTTAGCCGCTTTGAGACTCCTTCGGGTAGTGATAAAGCAGGATATCAAATCCAAACTCTTCTTCTACCCACTAGGATTTATCTTCCAGGAGAGAGGAAGTGTGGGGAGAGGCAGAGGGAATGGAAGGGGTTTCCTCCAATATTCAAGCCATGTTTCTTGTTGACTAAGGATGCAATGCCATTCTGGTGACTCAGCCGCTGGAATGCAAATCACTTTGCAGTCTGCTTAAGCTACAAAAACATGCCTGTCAAGAGATGGAGACGAGCTTTAATTGCTACTTCTGTCTGCTTATTTCTCCATAAAGATAGGTGTCAGGATTCAGTCTTGTCTGCACCTCAAACCAGAGATCTGCTCAGAAAGGAAAGCAGATCTCTACACTGGCAGTGACCCTGAAAGGTTGATGGAACCACGTATCCCTGCCCCACACCAGGAACTTGCCACCCCAGTTTTCAGAGGTGGATTTAGGGGAGGAGACTCTTGAGATTCCCATGGACTGCAAGAAGATCAAACCTATCCATTCTGAAGGAAATCAGCCCTGGGTGCTCATTGGAAGGACAGATCCTGAAGCTGAGGCTCCAATACTTTGGCCACCTCATGAGAAGAGAAGACTCCCTGGAAAAGACCCTGATGTTGGGAAAGATGGAGGGCACAAGGAGAAGAGGACAGTAGAGGATGAGATGGTTGGACAGTGTTCTCGAAGCTACGAACATGAGTTTGACCAAACTGCGGGAGGCAGTGGAAGACAGGAGTGCCTGGCGTGCTCTGGTCCATGGGGTCACGAAGAGTCGGACATGACTAAACGACTAAAGAACAATCAGCCTGCACTAGGCGCCAATCCCAGAAGGTGCCACAGGGGGGCGCCACAACAAGGACTTAGAATGGAAGGCAAGAGGTAGGGGGGGGCACCAAATTTTGGCATCGCCCAAGGCACCGCTGAAATTTGAAAGCCCAAAGTCTGTGACCTTCACTTCCAGCATCTTCCCTAGGTCCACAGGAACAGAGGAAAGGGCAAACCTGGCACCAGAGCCACCTCTGCAGTGCCTGGCTAGCTGTGCATGGAGCTACTCAAGAGGAGAGAGAAGCATATAGGGTAACATTTATTATGTACTGAGTTGAATAGGATCCAAAAGGCAGCAGTCTGATTGGTCTTAGAACAATAGGGTCCAGAATGCAGCAGTCTGATTGGTCCTAGAACAATAGGATTCAGAATGCAGCAGTATGATTGGTCCCAGAACAATAGGGTCCAGAATGCAGCAGTCTGATTGGTCCTAGAACAATAGGGTCCAGAATGCAGCAGTCTGATTGGTCCTAGAATAATGCAGCAGTATGATTGGTCCGCAGGAGCCACCCAATCCAGCTCCAGGTGGAAGTGAATCCGCAACCTGATTGGCCTACAGAAGAATCCCAGAATTAGCCAATCATGTGCGGCCCATTGTGTAAATAATGTATATAAAGCAGATACTTTGGGGGAACTTTCATTCCTCACTACTATGAGCTGAATAAAGAGCATGAAAGCCACACTCGACTCCGAGTATATTCCAACATTTAATCCGCACAAGAGCCCTGGGAGGTAGGTTAGGCTGAGAGAATGTAACTGGTCCAAGGTCAGCCAGTGAGCTTCGTGGCCAAGTGGGGATCCGAACCCAGATCTCCCAGGGCCTAGTCTGAGACTCTAAGCACTACGCCACACTGGTTTTCGATACTCAGAATGCAAATCCCACCAGGCTCTGTTCTGGAGTAGTAACAAAAATTAGTGCTGTTTCCAAACCTGCACTTCTCAAATGCCCCTCCCCCCACACGCTGCTGCCATCAGAAGAGGGTTCCAATTTTCTGCCTCTTCCTCAGAGCACTTTAGAGTATTATTATTTATTTATTTATTTCAGTGGGCACAGGATTCTGAGCTTATTTTATAGCTGAGAAGTAGCAGAGGGTGGTGTGGGGGTTTTATTTTCCGCTAAACATTTATCCAGCATTCTGCAGCCTCCTCATTCTGCAGCCTGCCCTCCCTGATCTGAAAAGCCCCATGGGAAGAGTTACCTCATGGTGTCGTACCCTGGACTCAAATGGTGGGTTCCTGGGAAGGCTGCTGAGGGCAGACCGCTGGTGAGATGATTTGCAGAACAAAATGAAGGATCTGTGCAAACACCCCTCAGCCATCTCAGAGGTAAGGTAAGCGCAGCAAAACCACTGCACGCACCTTTAGGAATTTCACCAACATTTTCTCCCCACTTGGATAATTTTCTAAGCTTTCCTTCTCGGTGGATGGAAAGCGGGGAAGGGGTGTGGTGGGAGAGAATGCCGGAGACATTTTCTGCGCAGTGCTGCCACAAATACAAACACACTTCTTCCTGCTTAATGAATAGTCACCCTCCCTTTCTATTCAATTAAAACAATGAAGAACCCGGTCTTCTGCAAAGATAGCAGCCTAGTGACGTATCTGGAAATATCTGCCTTCCAATTCTCCTGCGGGTCATCAGAAAGGTTTATTTGAGCAGTTAGAGGCCCCATGTGACTTATAGATGAATAACATATCTTCCTTTTCCATTAATAAAATAAAAGAAGGGAGGCTGATCACTTTGTGGATAAAAACACATCACTTTTGGGTTGATCCAGATGGTGGCAGAGACATGGGGAGCTCCCCATTTATTGAGAATCCATCCTCATTTGTTTGCCGGTGGATCAGGTGATGATGGCTATTTAATGAGCATTCATTCTCATTCACATGCAGGGAAGTTAGATGACATTGTGTCCAAGCAAGTGTTATTATCCCACACTTTCCACTGTGTTTCACTATCACTTTCCTTACAGCCATTGGTTATTTTTTGTTGTGCAAGACCT